CCAAAGACAGCATATAGCCACAGTGGCAGCACCAGTTCGCTCCGATGTTGGTCAGAGGCTCAAAGCGGTGGGGAATCCGGTGATTGATCTTCTCCTCATCGCCTTCCTATTTGAAAGGTCAGAATGACAGCTCCGAAACAGACTGAACGCACTCACGCCAGTGTTCGACTTGGATATACACTTAGTAACCACCTTCTCGTAGCACTTCTTGTGACAAGTGTACCGACAATCCTCGCACGTGTATCCCACAGCGTTGACCAAAAACTCGGAACAAAACGCGCAGCGAATGAGCTGGTAGAATTGGCGCTGGACGAATTTGTGCCCGTTCATTTCGTGAATTTCGTCTTTTCGCTTTCGAACTGCGCCTTGACGGCCGAGACCACCGATGGGAGCGTCCAACGGCCGCTTGCGAACATTTTCCTTGACTGAGAGATGTCATCAGCACCTGCACGAAAAAGAACGAAAGATCACTTGCTGAAGTTCAAACGCAACAAGATGGCACCAGCAGGCTCCACCGAAAACCACGCATCGATGCCGTCTGCTGTCTGGTTCATGCCCATCATGGTAGGACCGCCTCCGAGAGGTGAATTCATGTCCCCGCCGTTGGGCATCGGTTGGCCCGGCATAGCGCCAGCGGTGACCCAACCCGGCCCACTGTCCATTCCCACTTTCTGCCTCCGCAAAGCTTCAACGAGATCGCTAATCCGAATCCACAGGAGACCGATCGGAACACTCTGAGTTTCCGAGAGTTGTTTGTCACTCAGCATGATTTCGACCTCATTCGCCTTGTCCACCGCGATCTCGAAGTCCTCATTCCATCGGTCTGTACGAGTTGGATGAGAGCGCGCAAGCTGAGATCCTTCCACTTTCAGTGAGACCACTGTCTCAGTACCCTGCTTAGAGGCAGACCGCGATCTTGAGACTATTGGCGCATGATCGAGTTCTCTGGCACCTTGAATGGTGACCTGCAGGATGCCCGACAAGGGTTTTGCTCGGAGATTATCCTTCCGGTCACCCTCACTACCGGGCCCGCTAGGTGCAACTGGGAGAGCACCGATCAGACGAGATGAAAGGGAGCACGATGATCGCTTACCTGTTTCCTCCTCCTCTACGTCATCAAGAATGTGCAAGTTCTTGTACCGTTTGAGTGCCGTTTGCAGGAGTTGAATCTTCTTGTCACTCTCAATCTTCTTCGCATCGGCATCGGCGCGCGACTTTTTATCTCCATCTTGTTGATACAGTTTGGACATCTTTTCAATGCCTCCTTTGTACTGCATTTCGAGGCGAAGTTTGAACTCAAGTTGGTGGAGCATGCGCGATATCTTCTGCGGTGTGTGCGGCGTTTCGGCCTTGATGAGGTCGAGGTTGGAGTACATCCGCGGCTTTGGCGCATCACCTGTGCCAGCCGCCCCCGACATGGGAACTTGCCCTTGCACAGGCCCGCGTCCCCCCCAAGCATCAGATTTGGGAGGAACCTAAAATAGATAATCGATACATCGGATCGGACCCAGAGCCTCGGAATAGGACTGCGCACCTGTGGAGGTACTGAGCCAGGGTATCCCCCCTGCGACTGCTGCGCTTTGCGCGCTTGAAGCTCGCTTAGCGTTGACTCAAAGTATGATAGTGAACGCTCGGTTTCCCTGATCTTCGCGTCGTTACGGCGAAGGACATCCTGGTTAGAGGTAGCCTGTCGGAGAAGCTGCGAAGCCTCTAGGATCTTGCGCTCAGTCTGGATATGTTTGTAAACTTCCTGGATTTTCTGGTCCAGTTCGTTGGCCTGTATAAGCGAAAGAGTTACAAGGGATGTCAGCGAGCCGAAATGAACTGAAGAAATCGACTCGACCATGGGCTAGCGGTGCGAGGTTCGACCTCGCCTGCAACGGATACAGAAGGCGAAGGAGTGGAGAGGAAGAACTTTCAAATGGTGAGAGGGCTGTGTCGCGCCGGCAGAGCCTAGCACAGAGTAAGTCACACTCGTCACTATGACCAGCATCGTCACAGATCGCCGAGACTGCCGAAATTCTCCAGTACTGCCATGTTCGTCGCGTCGACCGTAGCCCGCGCCACATCTCCCTGGGCTCGCGTAACACTGCATGCAAGTCACCACTACAATTCATCCCAGTACACCAATCCTTTTCGAAAAATGGTGCTGCCCGACGGCGTCGATATCATTCTCATCTCCGAGCTCGTGTTCACTATCTCTGGTTCCTTCAACAAAGATAAGGTGTCCGCAGAGGAAATCCTTGCCTCCAGATTGACTGAAATGATTGTTGACTACTTCCAATCGGTAAGTACTCTGCTTGTGGCTACAATGTGTGAGACCGTTATCGCCGCATAGACTAGTATGGAACTGGGCATCTCTCTAGTGTCAAGCGCATACATCGATATCAAGGACGGTCTCGTCAAGTGTAAGCTTTGATTCACGTCGACCCTGCCGTAGCCAATCGGATGAATAGTCAAGATCGCTCTACCGCAAGACCCTTGTCCCCCACTTGCCGGTGTCCACTTTTCGCTGAGCAGGATTGATCTCAAATTTGCCTGGAAGGCTGAGACTACTGAGTGCTCGACGGTTTCTCTCATCTCTCCGTTCTCTGCCTACTTGTCGCTTCCTTTTCGAATGTTACTCGACACCGTTCTCCATCATTTCGTCACTTGGCATCTCGTTCGGTATATCCGCCTCAGGAGCTACTTGAACTCATTTTTGACTGACAGTCATAGACGCTATCCCCTCATCTTCGGACTTTGGGCTCAAGTGCTGCATTGTCTGGCCCCTGTTAATCTCGTCTCACTTGTGATCTAGCAACTCTCTCTCGAACGGCCTTACTTCGACAAGATCTTCCGGTCAATATCTAGAATGATCAAGAGATCGGACGGGCTCTTCCGCAGAGATTGTAAAGCGATTATCAAGGTGCTCGTTCCCTAGAATACATCTTCATTCGGAAGACTGGATAGCAACAGCGCATCCGGAACGAGCAACAGGCAAACCTCGAGAGCGCCGTAGCCTCTCTCTTAGCCTACTCAAATCAAGACCGAGATGGTCCTGAGTTTACTTCAGAAGAGGCATTCTCCCTTGCGATGGAACTTCGATATCGAATGTGCTTACGTCGCCCCCAATTCAAGGTTCCGACTTTCTCTTATCGCACAGGGTCCTACCACTAATCATAACTGCAGGGTATCGGGCGTGGCTCTGTGTCTAACCGACGAACCGAAGAAGTCGTAGCCGACAATAACGGCTCTCAAACACCTCCGGATCTGGAAGACGATGGACTATGGCGCCCACCTCTTCTGCGACTGGAGAGCTCGCTTGTCAACACCTCTTCTCCAACCCCACTCTTCGATGTCATTCTGAATCCAGCGGGTCAAGCGGACTCCCTGATGGATTTGGACGCAGAAATACTGGACATGAACTCTGACGGATATGACGACTCAGCCGACCGTCTCCCACCGACTCTCTTCGAGAATGCCTATCTGCGTCAGAACCTTTCTTTCGAAGGCCATGACGAGCCCAGTTTAGACTGGAGCTTCACTTCAGAAACGCAATCAGCTGCCGGTCCAGAGTCACCCGACCACTTAATAGTGTTCCCCTCCGCCATTGCAACTCCGCTCGATTCTCCTTTCCCATGTATGTCTCGTAGGCTCACTCTGGGCTCGGACCCGTGTATCGACTTCGATCATTGTCGGTCTGTGCCCGAGCCAGAAGCCGGTCTGGAGGCGTTCGAAGATCTGTTTGATTCAGACTTGTCCGAGGGTCGGGATGCAGCATTGGAGCATCCAGCGGGTAATTCTATTGACGTTGTCATGGACAGTGGAGCACCAGCTTCACACGAGGATTTGGAATGGGCAGAATGGTAAATAACCATACAGTAGAGCAAACACGCATATGTAATCATAGCAACGGTGACCAGTGTGCATGGGATCAAATACCACACCCAATCTAGACACAGTCGGTAATAGCCGAAACTCCGCTGAGGCCCTCAAGGAACTTGCATCTTACCTTCATCTCAGACATCTTCGTCCCATTGTTTCCAACGACTCTCGATAAACGATGCTCCCCGCACAACGTAACAAAGTCGATCTGAGTGTCGGTCTTTCACAAGTCCTTTTCGATCTCGTTACCGACTCCTACCCTGCAGAAACTCAGTGAACAGGAGCAGCTCTTGTTCGCCAAGTACGGCAAACTACCGACACACAAGAATGTTCTCATGAAGATGCAAAAGGTTTGTATCCCTCGTTGTTTCTGCTCCACCCTCCATCGTCATCGTCATCTAATCCCATCGCATCGACCAGGATCGCAAGTACTTTGATTCGGGCGACTACGCCTTGTCCAAGGCCGGAGTGGAGCCTCAAGCTGCCGTTGGAACCGCCATCCCCAACTTCGAGAAGTGCGTGCTTATCCTGCTCACACTTCCGTTGTCGGTGCCCTTAATGTCCATGGCCAGCATTCCGCATGCCGCCACCCCTCCTTCCAACGGTCACCCTGCACTCTCTGTCTCCCCGACGAACCCCACGAGCCCTATCAACAAAGAGAGCGGACTCGCTCATACGGAACGCTCCATCGAAGCCACGACTGAAGAGGCCATCGACGCTCCTGCGGCCGAGGATCAAGCAACGAAGGCAGATTAACTCCGAATCGGCATCCGCTCGTTCGTATCCCATTCCTCTGCTCCTGCTCGCAGACCAATCTTTCCCGATGCATTGGCGCTCCCAAGCTATTTTACCTGTATATTAATCTACATACACCTGTGGAGGCGCTCGTACGTCTCCAGGTTTCGCACTCGTCCACTTTATTCCGCCATCCCGGGTGGCTGGTTGTACCAGTCGCCAGCACTGCCAACGATTTGCGCGCGACATCGAAGGAAAATCTGGTTATCGAACTGAAATTCTTGTATGTACAGCATTGTAGATAGTAAAATGGGTCCAGCTCTGGTCCAAACAAATATTCCAGCGCGGAGAGCCTCCAGTGCACTTGGCATAGCGTCGCCTGAACATGATCCGGCCTCATATTTCGTCAAAGCTGTTTCAATGCGTATATGTATTGTCAACCTCGGGGAGGGATGATGACATGATCGGACGTCAATTCGGAAGGCGGGTCTTACTGCATCTCCATCTAGTGTGACTAGTCTGCTGCGTTATTCTCGCAAAGCAGATCTTATGTACTAGTCCAAGGGAAACAGAGATAGCCGAAACGAGTCGCAACCGGACAGGGATGCTAGTGGTGCGTGGTGTCACGTTCACGTGCTAGCGTGACCTTCGCGATCGGTCCGCGCCGAGCCCTTCGTAGTCCAGACGCCGTGTTCGTGCAGGCCAGAACCTCGTCTCCGAGCGCAAGAACTGGTGAGATGCACGCCACCCGATGAATTTCGCGCTGGATGACGACGGAATGGATGGTCGCGTGGCGCCAAGCATGGGCGCCCGAGAGGGGGATATAACCGTCCGGGTCAAGAAACAGTCCAGATAATGCCTTGGAGATTACGGCGCTGCCAGACTAGCCAAGTGCGCCTTGGCTGACAGCAGTGCTTCCTGTTTCCTGGTCAGACCATCCTCTGAAAGGCGGGAAGTGGACGTACGGTCACAAACGCTTGTCTGGTTTCATCCTTCATAACCTTCCATCTGTTTTCGTAGTGAACCAGCAGTTCTTCATAATGCCGTCGGATGACAGCATCACCGCGCATGGCAGTTCTGATGAGGGACCTCAGAACGAATGATCCCGCGACCCATTCGACTTCATCCTCCTCCCAGATCGCATCCTGAACAAAGAGGTCGCTGAAAACACGACTTTTGGTGTAGTCGTGTATGTTAGGCGGGGAGCTCATGTCACAGCCTAACGCAAACACGCCTGTTTCGATGGCAGAACTGTGGATCCTCGCCCACTGCATGTGATCTTTACGCCGTGCGCGATCCGCCGTGATGCGATGGAGCTCAAGGGACATGGAAGACGCGGGGTTGGCCTCCGTGTGACTTCGTGCAGCAGTGGACGTCCACCTGGCCGACTTGCGTATCTGCATTTGGAGGGCAAGCGCACCAGCAAGTGGTCCAGTCGCTCCTGCGTGACATACGGCCGAGGTGAAGTACCGCACAGCTCCGAGGAAGCGTGTCAGCAGAGTGTTGGGTGGTGTGTTGCTTCTGTCCCACTCGGAGGATGTGGCCTGGAACAACGCGAATATAACAGGCTGTAAGGTCAAGGGCGGCGGCTCTGCCAATGCCAGCACCTGCATTTGCGAGGCAAGAAGGGCGACATCGATATTGCTCAGGAAAGCCTCTGTCAGTGATGCGATAGTCACAATCACTGGCAATGCTGGCGGAAGGAGAGCAGGCGCCTGGGGCAAACATGGCGGAGAAGACGGAGAACGCTGTAATGCATTTGCCAAGGTGCTCGCGATAGGATATTGCACATGAATGGGTAGCCGAGCAGTCACCGTAGGGGATGGCGTTACAGCAGCCGGGCTATCGTGGTGCGAGTAGGTGTTGGTCATCGTCGGAGAAGATGTTAGGGTGTTATCTGAGAGCGTGAAATCACGCTCAATACTGATGGTAGGGCTGGTATCCATCCAAGGGTCGTGGGCAGGTGTTCGTGCAACTTGAATGGGCATGTCTTATCATAAGCCATAGTCAATCCCAATCATTGAAGTGAAACACCAAAACGAACCTTTCTCTGGCGTCTTCCGAGACGATCTCGGCTTGCCCTCAGCCTTCCTGCGATTCCGTCCCACACTATTCTTGAACCAGTTGTAAAGTTGCTGCACCATGTATTGAGGGGTCAAAGTCATCAGTAGAGAAAAGCCCAAGAACCTCTCTGAACTTGGTATCGACGTCCTCGCCGAGTTCAACTTGCGCAGACGATGGGATGCCGAAGCGTACAATGAATTCCGCAGCTCTCTCCATGGCAAATTTCTTCTGGAAAGAGTGAGCCGGATGCATAAAGTAGGAAAATCCATGCAAGAAGCATACTGCATCTCCGCGCACTGGCCCTAGGGACCTCCGCTCAAATTCAGGAAGGTAGCTTAATGTGCAGTGGATAAGTGCAATGTCAAAGGGGACCCGGTTGAACTAGCCTCTTGAGAAAAGTAAGCTGCTGCTCCGTGTAGGCTTTGGGCAGCGGACGTGATCGAATGTACTTCGAGTTTTGTGCCATGCAGATGAGGGCTGTGAGCAAGCAAGCAGTCGATCCGGTGTCTCGGACCGACGATCGATCTTGACCACGACCATCTTCTCCCATAAAACAGCCATGTACCTGCGCTGCACCATTTTGTCTATACAATTCCGAATGAGCAGCCCAATCCCGGCCAGCCATTAAAACACCAGCATTACTATGGGTGCCCCAAAGCACTGCCGCCGCCGCAGCATTCTCATACCCACGGCGCGACATGCGATCTAGATCCTTGGCCAGTCTCCACTAGAGCATGACTACACGCAGTATTGCTTGCGTACACTCGTATGCCTCCTCGGTTTATCTCCGCTCGCCTCGCTCGATGTCTTTGCAAGCCGCGCCGGGCGAAATTACAAATCACTCCAATTCCACAGGTCATTCCAGTCAGCTGCTAGCTTCTTTTCCGCTTTCTCGGGCCAGCTTTTTGATTTGGACCTGGTTGGTGCCTCCGAGTGAGCTCAGATCACCCTCGACTTGGCCAAGTAGCCAGTGCAATGATCGAAAGCGCGGAAAGGGCGAGAAAGATTTTATGGATTCTGAGGGTTTATGATCCCCGCCTGTCAACTTTAAACGTTTGAATAACGAAGCTGCAATTGATTGAGGGCTGGGCTCCAGCTCGACTCAAGTCCGGGTCTACAGAGCACTATCTTACGTCAGCATCTGTATGTCATGTAATTACAACGGGGAACGTGACATAACGCACCTTCCGTCCACCCTTACATCAATGAACGCGCTGCTGACCGAGGATCAGCTCAAGACTGTTGTCCAGGGCCCAGGGGATGTCGAGTGGCGCTACGAGATGCGCAGAGAATGCCAGGAAATCCTGCCTGGACTATTCCTGGGGCCCTTCGTCGCCTCGAAGTCGCTGGACACACTGCGTAGTATTGGGATCACGCACATGTGCCGCTCGACCTGCCCATCGTCAGGATGACATCTGACCCCGCTGCAGTGTCTGCATTCGCGACGCTAAGGAAGCTTTCTCAGTTCGCCCTCGCTTTCCGGACCAGTTCGAGTACATGACCTTGGATGTCGAAGACAACGAAGAACAGAATCTGATTCGATTATTCCCGGGGTGCGTGCATCAGCTTGAGCAGGTCTATAATCCACCCATGCCAGCTGATCAGGGCGAAGACATTTATCGAGGCCGCCATCTCACAAGGTGGGCGTGTCCTTGTTCACTGTAATGGTACGTAACAAAGGACCAGTATTCAGGTTCACACTGATTGGTTACACAAAGGCGGAATCAGCCTTTCTCCCGCCTTTGTTGTTATGTTCGTCATGCAGCACTATCAGATGTCATGGGAAGACGCACTGCACATGGTGCAGAACCGACGTTACTGTATTTCGCCCAACGGCGGATTTTTGACCCAGCTCAAGGTGGCGATAACTCAATGATTGAAATCGGCTTATCTGAATACTCATTCGACTCCAGGAATACGAAGCTATCTATCGAGCGAGCATAGCAGTGGCATCATATCCGACCAGTGGGAACCGTGTCGTGTCTCGCAGGAAGCGGGAGGACGAAGATGACGAGGATGGTAGTGATCGGTGCGTATTGCAAACCTGACGAGTGTCACCCAGATATTGAGCGTAAGAGCTGCAGATATGACGATCGTAAACGCGTTCTCGTTGACCCCGCTGCTGCTCCTACCCCGGCGTTCGATTCGAATGCGATGGAACTCTCATAGCCGACGCTTTCCCTGTTCAGTTGCTTTCTGTAGTATGTATCCAAATTCTAATGGGGTGGAATCATAGGGACTTGATCTTGGCAGTCTCCTTCTCGGAAACAACGCGTTTTACGTGGACGTCTGCGCAGCGAGTTAGTGGAGAGTAGTGTGTCGCAGAAGAGAGGGCGAATTCACGTTTCCGCTTGACCAGGGCTTCCACTGATATTCCTGCAAAAACGACGCCCGCTCCGAGCCATTGACCGGCTGTCAGTTTATGGTTGTAGACAACCACGGAGAGAATCATTGTGAACATCTTGCGAGTCAATGTGATTGTCCTGTGGCGGCCTTGAGTAAAGAATCCCAAGCAGCGCGGAAAAACATACACAAGTGTGAGGGACCCAAAGTGCTGCAAGGTTTCGAATATGAACAGTTGCCCGAGAGCACCTGTCAGTGCAAACTGCAACAGCGGTGAGACGATGCTGGGGTGTGTCCGTACGAATTCCAGAGCCGAGGCCAGCTCGCTCCCTGCATCCGTTGGGTGAATGACAGGAATGTACGGCAAGGGGAGAGCCGAAAAGACGGTTGTAAGGATTGTGCAGAACACATTGATCCAGAACATCATCTGCTGCCCCGTAACACGATGGCGCGCGAAAATCTCGTCCTGAGTCGAGTTGGTCGCGCCGTCCAGTGCGAGATTGATGAGAAGGTACGAAAGCCCGATCAAGCTGGCGTTCGAAGATGGGCCCGCCTTTGCCTTGGAAGTTTTGGATGGACCAAGGTACATGAATATGGTGATGCCCAGTGTCACCATGAAGACGACCAGGTATTTGTGTGGAGCAAATTTGCGGCGATACAGCAGAACGTTCATGATCATAACTGGAACCAGTTTGCACGACTTGCCAAGCACCATGGCGGGGTAAGAGATGTAGGAGAGCGCCGCGAATCCGAACGGTGCAGCGAGCGTGATGAACACCGAGCATTGGAGGTAACGAACGAGCAGCGCGGAGCGCGAGAAACGGGTGGAAGGCTTGTCGGGATGTTTAGAATGGGCGTGTCCGTTGGCTTTTTCGTCGAGCTTCTCTACATGCTCGAGACCAAGACTCTGCATCAAGGTCTCGCTCGAGTTCCGGCGGATCAAGATATATATGAGAGCCGACACAGAACTCAAGGTGCTCTGTAAGGTGCCGATGAACATTGCCGACTTGAATTTCTCCGACTTGCCGTCGATGGAGACGAAGGGAACAGACACTCGAGAGACGGGATTATTGTTCAGCATGAATGCGCAAAGAATCAAGCTTACGTCGTTCTTGAGAAACAGCCCATAGCTTGGAAGAGTGAGCACTCAGAGACAGCACTCGCATTCTTACGCACCAGGAACATTGAATACACCCCCACAACGCACAACGCCAACCTGATCAAGAGAATTAAGAACTATGTCGCGTGTCGTCGAATGTTGCTGACCGGATAAAAGACATGGCTCTACGAGAACGCGAAAGCAAAAGAGTGAAGTGAATGATCTAAAGTGACGATCGACGTGTCCAAGACGTGGCTATCACTGTCCACACCGGTCCGGGATCCCGATGATACTCCGAAGTCGGACGTTGCCGAGTCGGGCGTCACAGCGTCACGGCAAGAAGCTCGGAGTCTACTGAGTCGCAGTCTCAATCCGGTCATACTAGTCCATCGTCTGCTCACTCGAGCTCTTCGACTCTCATGCCATTGAAGCAGCTGCCTTGGTCGCAGTTGCGCTCATTTGCTACCACAGTCAATTCGACTCCACGGGTTCCGCAAACCGTAATCGAAAAAGTTGTACAAAAGTATGCCGTGGATCTACCGCCCGGGAAGGTAGTCAAAGCGGGCGACTATGTGATGATACGCCCCGAGCACGTCATGACCCATGATAACACGGGGCCCGTCATATCCAAGTCCGTGCTTGTTCTCGTTCTTCCCTAGTCGAACTACAACTCTCTCAGGTTCAAGACAATCGGCGCAACACGAATCCACAATCCCAAGCAGCCTGTTTTCACGCTTGATCATGATGTTCAGAACCGTTCACCTCAGAACATGAAGAAATACGCGTCAATTGAGGAGTTTGCGCGTCTGCACACGGTTGACTTCTATCCAGCCGGCAGAGGTATCGGGCATCAAGTGCTTGTGGAGGAAGGATACGCGTTTCCGAATACCCTGACTGTTGCCAGCGACAGTCACAGCAACATGTACGGTGGTGTCGGTTGTGTTGGGACACCTATCGTCAGGACGGATGCAGCTGCATTGTGGGCTACGGGCAAGACGTGGTGGCAGGTGCCGCGGATGGTGAATGTCGAGTTGCGGGGAAAGCTCGCACCCGGTGTGACCGGCAAGGATGTGATCGTTGCGCTGTGTGGGTCGTTCAACAAGGACGAAGTGTTGAATGCGGCAATCGAGTTCACGGGTGAAGGGGTGTCAACATTAGGTGTCGACGAGCGACTGACGATTGCAAACATGACTACGGAGTGGGGCGCGCTTGCCGGTGTATTCCCGGTCGACAAGACCCTGCTGAACTGGTACGATGCCGTGCTTTCCAAGCTTGAGCTGCGGACGTTCTCGTCGCCAGAGATGGCCGCTCTGATTCCCGCGCCACCGATGCATCCTCGGATAAACCGCCAGCGACTGGATACGCTCAGAGACTCTGCTCCTTTCCTCCAGTCAGACCCCGGCGCCCAATACTCGTCGCATCTCATCTTTGATCTTTCCTCCCTTGTTCCCCATGTTTCCGGCCCAAATAGCGTGAAAGTCTCCACTCCGTTGCCGGAGCTGGAGAAATCGCACATTGCTATCCAGAAGGCTTATCTGGTCAGCTGTACAAACTCTCGGGTGTCAGACATTGCTGCTGCAGCAGCCGTCATGCGCGGAAACACTGTGGCCCCGGGTGTCGAGTTCTACATTGCTGCAGCGAGCTCTGCTGTCCAGTTGGAGGCCGAGAAGTTGGGCTATTGGGACACCCTCGTTCTGTCTGGTGCGAAGGTGTTACCTGCTGGCTGTGGGCCATGCATTGGCTTGGGAACAGGCTTGCTTGAAGAGGGACAGGTTGGAATCAGCGCCACGAACCGGAATTACAAAGGGCGGATGGGCCACCCCAAGGCTCTTGCGTATCTCGCCAGTCCTGCAGTCGTCGCTGCGAGCGCGATCAAAGGCTACATCTGCGGGCCTGCATCCCTCGATCCGGCTACTCTCCCCCCTGTTGGGGCACCGTCGTATTCTATCTCCTCTGCTCCGGAGGCGACCCAAGCGAGTGTTTCGCCAGGGGAGACAGAGCCTATCTTGTCGGGTTTCCCGCAGTCTTTTGCTGGCCCGCTGGTGTTTGCGCCCCAGGACAATCTGAACACAGATGCGCTATATCCTGGTAAGTATACATATCAGGATGATATCACCCTCGCCCGGCAAGCGGAAGTTGTGATGGAGAATTATGACCCTGCGTTCGCGAAGATGGTCGCGTCCATTCGACCCCGTTCAACAGAAAATGCCGAGCCCGGCGTCGTCCTTGTCGCGGGATACAACTTCGGGACCGGCTCTTCCCGTGAGCAGGCGGCTACTGCTCTGAAATCTGCTGGAATCCCTGTCGTCATTGCTGGATCATTCGGGGACATCTTCAAGCGCAATGCGATCAACAACGGACTCGTCTGTCTCGAGTGTCCCGAACTGGTCGCCGATCTCACTGCTCGCTATGCTCAAGGCGGTGTGCGAGGTGCAGGAGGGACAGATGGCGAACTCACAGTTGAGCGCGGAATGCAGATCAAGATCGGCATGGACAGCGGACGTGTTGTTGTTCGCTACGCAGATGAGAACCAAGAATACAGCGTGAAACCCGTAGGACCTAGTGTGCAGGAACTGTGGGTGTGTGGAGGCTTGGAGGGGTACATCCTCAAGGAGATTCAATCTTGAACACCCCGGCTAAAAGTATGTACATAAGAAGTGGTATTCCGAGTTGCATACCATTAATGTAAGTATGCTTTGAAGTGCTTGACCTTCCTCCACCTGCTTCCACTAAGTAGCAGTTCCAATTCATGACGTCAACCACGTGATGCCCACTTTCTCTTCTTGGTCCCCTACCGAGCATGGATGATCTCGATGATGATATCCCGACTCTCATCGACCACACTACATACGCCATTGAAACGCATCACTCAGAAACATCTGAGAAAGTGCCTCTGACCATCATATCCGGATTCCTTGGAGCAGGCAAATCAACTCTGCTCAAACGGATCCTGACTGAGCATCATGGATTTCGCATCGCGGTAATCATGAACGAGTTTGGAGACACAGCGGCAGGTTTCTACTGCAATGGTCACGTCCAGCCACTCTTGATGTCTAATGCAGGATATCGAAGGTCCCGAGGCAGTCAACGAACCTTTTTCCCCACGACCTCATTCGTCCTACAGCGAAGACGATCAACGTTTCATCAGAAGAGGGCGCAGAATCTGAAGAATTCCTCGAGTTGGCCAATGGATGTCTATGCTGCAGTATCAAGGACACTGGCATTGCGGCTATCGAGAAACTGATGCAACGGAAGGGTGGTTTCGACCACATTCTTCTAGAAACTACGGGACTAGCCGATCCAGGTAAGGGCTGTCGGTGAATGCCACGATTATCTTCAATCTTGAAAGGGCCCATCGCGTCTTTATTTTGGCACAACGAGGAATTTGCAACCGGTCTCGGTAAAAGCATCGCTCTGGATGGTGTTATCTGCGTTGTGGATGCTGTTTTTGGAAAACAAGTGCGTTTGCCATGTGGGTTCAATACAGCAAGAATGACATCTCCCCTGTAGCAAATGGCTGAGGACCACAGCTCTGAAACAGTGGGCGAAAGTGTTAGGTATGAGACCGCCTTGAAACTTGTACTAAATTAAAATCTATAGGCAAATTGCATGTGCAGACGTCTTGATCCTCAACAAAATCGACCTCGCCACTGTTGAATTGGTCAAAGAGACGACAGCGTTGATGCGCGCCGTCAACCCGGTTGCCCCGATCTATTTGACCGAAAAGGCCCAGATCGACGTCGGGAAAATACTGGGGCTGAATGCATATGCCAGTGCGCCTGCATTTGCGAGCACTCAATACGACAGCAAGCACGACCATGGGCATGATCCTGGACACGATCACGAGCATGACCACAAAGATCAACTCAACCGCACAGCCACTCATTATGAACTGCGAGGAATATCGAGTCTGCTTGTCCCCATCCCTGTTCTGACAACCGCACGTCTTGCTGCGCTGGATAAATGGATACAATCCGTGCTCTGGGACCAGCATCTTCCGGAAACGGGATCAGACTCCAACGAGCTTCTTGTCTTGCGGTGTAAAGGACTCTTCTTGGTAGAATCTGGGGCCCATTTCGTGCTTCAGGGTGTCAGGAACATGTATGATCTCACCGAGAGTAGCTCACGTGACGCAGTTGGTCTTCCGGACCAGGGCAAGTTGGTCCTTATCGGTAGTGGACTGACCGACGCGGTTAGAGCCAGTCTGGAACTCGTTGTAGGAACCTGACGATCGTTGGCATCCTGAATACTGTATCAGATGTAACGTATGTAATACAAAGCTTATCCTCTTCCGGAGTCGTACTCTCTCTTCCCAAGACACTTCCATTAGCTAATGGCGCTGCCGTCCTACAAGCTATCCATTCTTACTGCCTCGGGCCGGAATACTTGATTCATTGTCATCTGACGGTTTCCTAGGTCTCCTGTTTCTTTTGTTTCAAAGTCAACTTAGCAATTCTGTTACAGATCGCCCGGGCCCTGTCGCTTGCGCCGCATCACTCGGATTCTGATCTTATCAGTCAAGCTGGAGTAGAGGATTAACCAATGTTTCCATCTCCTTCGACTATGTCCTCTTCGTCGGCCAGCCCCATGAGCGAGCCGGGGCCCAGCCCCGGTCCTTCTGCCCAGAAAGTGAAGCAAAGAAGACCGAATAGGAGCTGCGATACGTGCCGAACCAGAAAAAGTAGACCGCTATTTTTACCTCTGTGCGCGCTTGCTGACTGCTCCAACTAGTCCGATGTGAGACCCGCCTGATCAACAATATCGCGCACTGAAGAACGCCAGGTAACGCCCCGAAGGATGCCCCTTGTAGTAATTGTGTCGACTTTGGGGCGACGTGCACGGTACGAAACAAGCTTGCACTTTGTTCGCAATACAATCACTCCTCTGAACATCTGTGCAGTATCTCGAGCTCCCCAAGAAGCGCGGGCCCAAGAATCGGTGCGTTTCCCAACAAGATGTCCTCTGTCCGATCCCAAATGCTCTTCAGCCTGGTGGACGAACTACGAAAGCAGAATGCGTCGTTGGAAGCCCGACTGAGAGCCGCATCTGTGTGTGCCTTGTGCTCGCAGCCTCTCGATCGCGACCGGCCCACGCCATTTCGGAATGAGCACACCACTGGGTCGCACATGATCTCTCCTCAAGAGTGGAACGAGGACGACGAAGACGACGACGAGCTTACAGCCAAGCTCAGCCAATTCTCGATCTCTGCCATGAAGAACAAGTACTTTGGTACGGTGTCGACATATTCGCTTGCCAACAATGCTATCCAGGTACGTCCTTGTGTGATCCACGGATGCCACAGATGAATTAACGAACGGTGCAGGCGAAAGAGACTAAAGTTGGGCGTCCGATGGCAGCCAATTACAAGCGCATGGTTTTCTGGCAAACTCCGGCGGTGCGTGTATAGTTCTATGTTCCTCTTTCGCTGAACAAACTGCAGTGGGAAAAAGCGTACTACAATGACCAGCCACATTACACTTTTCCTGAAGACGATTTGATGGTATCGCTGGTCCAGCTGTACTTTGTGGGTCAGCTGCTTCTGATAGCACAGAACGCGTGTTGATTACTCCCAGGACCGGATACATCCGACATTCCCAATACTGCACCGACCCACTTTCCAGCGCTCGCTTGCAGAGGGTCTGCACTTCCGCGATCCCCACTTTGCCACAATGCTGCTTGCGTTGCTAGCCATGGCTTCGAGGGTAGATGATCGTCAATGTTGCTGGATGTGTCTGATCTGCAATGGCCCAGCACTCGAACGATCCACGCGTCTTTGCCGATGGTTACTCGGCTGCCTCTGCGGGCTGGAAGTTCGTTGCTCAGACACAGCCCCTACGCAAGACATTTGAGCCTTCAATCTATCATGTCCAATTCTATGCTGCAAGTTTCTTGGCTTTTCGCAGTCTCTTTCGTCTCATTGGCCGCCCAGCTTATGACCCTGTATCTGATCGGAACGGCGCTTCCGCAGGCTTGTTGGTTCTATCTGGTAAGCGCGCCTATACTCATCTTTCCGGCACAAATGCGACATCCTACAGGGTTTAGGCATCCGCTTCCTCCAGCAACGGGGTCAGCACCGCACAAAGCGGCAGCCCGGATCGCCTGATCCTGAAAGTGAGTTGTGGAACCGAGCGTTTTGGTAAGCCACACTCGTGTTGAAGCCTGGTGATGACTGATGAATGAAAGGGCATTCATTTGTCTCGATCGAACGGTGTGCGCCTTTATCGGCCGTCCTCTTGGTATGTTCTAGAATTGATGGTTATGTGTTGATGATATCCATTTGACCATCTCGGCTGCAGCCTTCCACATCGAAGAGTAAGCTGTCTTTCTGGATCTCCGGCGGACTGCTCATGAAGGCAGTTATGAAGTCGACCCTCCTCTCGAAGTCGACGACGAGTACTGGGACCAAGGGTTCGTGCAACCACCGGGGGTTCCTTCTGCATATTCCTTTTTCGTCTACTATCTGCAGTATAGCGAGGTAAATGCCTTATTGTTCGAATTGCTCTTACTTACAATTACCTAGATCCTCGCAGATGCTATCCGTCGTCTCTATGCTACTCGACGAACAAAGGCGAGAATGGGCTGGATTGGGAAAGAATGGGAGCAACAGATTCTCGCGGAACTCGATTCGGCGCTGGAGGCACTGAGCACGTCCCTTCCAATCCATTGCATGTCTCGAGCTTTTCCTTGTTGTCTGACATCACTGATACATGCAGCAGTGCGATGGAATCCCGAGAACATGCCCCAAGACCCTCTGATTATGGATCAAGCGGCCACTTTGCACATTGTGGAAAATTATGTCACGATTTTGGTATGAATGCTCGTGTTCTTCGGCTGGAACCCTCACGTAGTCAGATTCATCGGCCTTTCATCCAACGGAATAACGAATTGGCTACCCGCTCACATTCCGTTTGCATCCGGGCGGCTCGTTCCATCCTGCATACAGCCGGGGCTTGGTTCAATCGACTTCACCGTCTACCCACCGTTCACGCACTGGTAAGTGGATGAGCAAGTGCGCTTGTTTGATGCACTCACCTCCGCGTCTCACCAGAACCCGTGCTTCGTGTCCAACCTGATTCTTCTTATGTCAGGCAACGTGGCAGAGCGGGATCTGGCCCTCATCGAGATAGGGATGCAGATCATCAAATTTTCGGAAACAAGGTTAGACACTCGGTGCACAGCATCGATACAGTCTCACATCTTGCGCATAGATGGCAGGCTGCCGGTCGATTCTGGGACATGCTGACTGAGCTACGTTCGCTGGACCGCCAGCCTCGCGCACAGCCGAACAAGTTGCAGCAGAGGAATATAGCACCTCCTCGAGCACCGACTGGTTTTGCAACACAGCAGACATCCCAGCACTCGGAATTGTTCAATGCAGTAGCTCCTGATCCGCTGTGGTATGCGAAGATGGCACGTTCCGCCCAACCTCCCTCACCGCTTTTCAAACCGGGAATGTCCATCGAGCAGCTGCTGGCAAACACCGGCCCTTTCCAGCCGCTGGACTTCACTTTGGACGACCAGATGATGGATCTGGATGATCGATCCATGTCGACGTGGATGTCCACCCCAATGCATCTCTCGTGAGTATTTTAGGTCTGTCACTTTCTCTTCGCTGACCGCCTTGTCTCAGGGATCTGCGACAATGGGATGCATACATCGGCAGCATGAATGTGGGCGGTGGGAATCGACCTCAATGGGCGCATTGAGAATCTCTTCATACGACCTCAGCGCTTGAATTCTAGATGTACTGTACATTCATCAACATGTATCACGTCGTAGCCAATAGATCGGATCCGGCGGCCCGCCCCATTTGACACATCGGTGGCTGTGCCTCCATCACTTATTTTTTGACCAGACCTCCTCCAGCGATGGAGGACAAGCCACATAAGCCGCATAGGGCGCCCCAGTCAGGCTCGAAGGCGGAGAAAAAGGACAAGGGGAAGGGGAAGGAGAAACAGCATGGGTTCAATGAAAAGGTGTGTGGACGGGCGCCGTCCTCGACCTAAGAAATCCACTCAGATGTCTCGCGTAGGCTTTCGCTCCTAAATCCGGGCGGCGGGCTGATCGACAAGGTCGTCGTAACGTCGAGCGAGAGCAAACACGTCTCCATGTCCCCCTCGTCAACCGTACTCCCGACCACGAGCCTCCTCCCGTGATTGTTGCTATCGTGGGACCGCCTGGGGTCGGCAAGACCACTCTGTTGAAAAGTCTTGTGCGGCGCTATACCAAGCAGACACTCCATGATGCAAAGGGTCCCATAACGGTCGTTAGCGGGAAGAAGAGGCGTCTGACGTTCATCGAATGCAACAACGACCTGAACAGCATGATCGACATAGGCAAAGTTGCGGACCTCGTTCTCCTCATGATCGACGGGTCTTTCGGGTTCGAAATGGTCATCTTCTACTCTTCCAGTGATGAACAGCGTGCTCACAGAACTACAGGAAATCTTCGAGTTCTTGAACGTCCTGCAATCGCACGGATTCCCAAAGGTCATAGGAATTCTCTCTCACCTCGATCTCATCAAGAAGGCGGCGACGTTGAAGGACACTAAAAAGGCTCTCAAGAAACGATTCTGGACGGAGATCTACCAAGGCGCCAAGCTATTCTATCTCTCAGGCGTCCTCAACGGCCGATATCCCGACAGCGAGATCCTCAATCTCTCGCGCTTCATCAGTGTGATGAAGTTCCGTCCTCTCGTCTTCCGAAATAGCCATCCATATCTTCTGGCAGACCGTATCGAAGACCTCACACCGCGAGAACAGATCCGGCAGAGCGGGGGCAAGTGCGACCGTGTTGTCACTGTCTACGGATACGTGCGCGGCACCAATCTGCGCGCAGGAACCAAAGTCCATATCCCCGGTGTGGGCGACCTAGACATGAAGAGCATCACCATCCTTGGCGACCCGTGTCCGCTGCCCGACGTCGACTCGGAGAAGCGCCGCAAGTTGAGCGAAAAGAAGAAGCTGCTTATCCATGCGCCGATGAGCGACGTGGGCGGTATGATGTACGACAAAGACGCGGTGTGGATCAATGTCCCGGGCAGTTTCACGCGAGGGAACGCAGACGGTGCGTGGATTTCATCCTTGATGAGGACTAGAGTTCTCAGATCGTTGCAGTCACGCAGGGAGAGGGAGAGCAGATGGTCATGGACCTCCAGGATGCGAGAGCGACGTTGGAAGACAGCGTTGCTCAAAGCCATATCCGACTCTTTGGATCGTCCTCCAAGCATCTCACGGTGGACGAAGACGACCGGAGCGATGAAGAGGACGGCCGCCCCAGCGACGAGGATGACGAAGATGACGAAGACGAAGACGAGAGCGACTCGGAGGAAGATGACGATGATTTGAGCGCCGGCGAGGACGAGGGCGAGGACTTGATGGATATTGGGGACAACAGCGGCCGGGCGTCCCGTCGAGATGTTACTCGCACGGTCCCAGTCGCCGGGAGCTCAAAGGGCAGGACAGCGGACATCGAATATGCGGACAGCGATTCGGATCTGGGTGACGAAGATGAGGAGGAAGAAAGACGTTTGGATTTCGGCGACGAGGAGCAGATGCATTTGCCCAGCGAGGAAGAGGAAGACGGGGAGGAGGATGTTCCAAGGTGGAAAATGAACCTGGCTGAAAGAGCCCAGGCGACAGCGGGAAAGTCTCGTCGACGGAAAGACTGGATCAAGCTGATCTATGCGAGTGATCTCACCCCCGAACAAGTGCTGAGCGGGAAGGACGAGACAGAAAACGACACGCCTGAAAACGACGAAGAAGACGAAGAGTTCTTCCGCATCAAACCGAGGACGGGGGGTGAAGTGGAACAGACTGATTCCAGCAAGCAAGCGTGGACAGACGAAGAACTCCGGCGCTGGGAGGATGAAGACTTGCTCGATTCGATCCGGCATCTCTTCATCACCGGTCCGGTCGAGGGTGAAGGTGGTAACGAGGAGTACGAGGATGCTGATGGCGATGGGGATTTCGAAGATCTGGAGGCAGACACCCCGAAAGCGGCCGACACCGAAGCATCTAAGGCTGCTGCTCTCGCTGCGAAGAAGGAGGAACTCAAACGCAAGTTCGACGAGCAGTACGATGATCCGGAAGCTTCCAAGATGGATTTCTACACAGAAAAGAAGGACGAAATGTCCAGGCAACTGCAGCTGAATATCGACGAGTTCAAGGATGTCCCGGCGGAAACAAGGGCCCTTGTGGAGGGCCATCGACCCGGTGCCTATGTGCGCATCGAATTGATAGACGTGCCGTGCGAGATGATCGAGAACTTTGACCCTATGTTCCCTCTTGTTGTTGGTGGCCTGCTCCCTGCGGAGGAGCGATTCGGTTTCGTCCAAGTCCGGATCAAGCGACATCGCTGGTTCGTGAAGACTTTGAAGACCAATGACCCATTGATATTCTCGCTGGGCTGGCGGCGGTTCCAGACGGTGCCCATCTACTCTCTGGATGACCATTCGATCCGGATGCGGATGCTTAAGTACACGCCCGAGCACATGCACTGTTATGCCACCTTCTATGGCCCTGTGTCGCTGCCAAACACGGGCTTCTGTGCCTTCAATTCGATGGACAGCAACACCCCAGGGTTCCGGGTCTCGGCCACTGGCGTCGTTCTGGACATTGATCGCTCCGCAAAGATCGTCAAAAAGATCAAGCTGACGGGTGTTCCGTACAAAATCTTCAAGAACACGGCATTTGTGAAGGACATGTTTAATTCTGCACTTGAGGTGGCCAAGTTCGAGGGCGCCAACATCAGAACAGTGTCTGGTATCCGCGGTCAAGTCAAGAAAGGCCTTTCAAAACCTGATGGAGCATTCCGAGCCACATTTGAGGACAAGGTGCTGATGAGTGGTGAGTGCAAACATATTTCATGCTCCGAGCTACATCTCAGTTGTTGGTAGACATCATATTTCTGCGGGCCTGGTACTCGATCCAGCCACGCAAGTTCTATAATCCTGTCACGTCTCTCCTCTTGTCGGACAAGTCACATTGGACAGGAATGCGGCTCACCGGTCAGGTCCGCCGTGATGAAGGGATCAAGACACCGCTGAACGTGAACTCGACGTACAAAGCAATCGATCGCCCGCAGCGGCGGTTCAACCCGCTCATTGTACCGAAGAAGCTGCAGGCCAGCCTACCGTACGCGTCGAAACCGCGAATGATGAAGCCGCAAAAACAGCAGACATACCTACAGAAACGAGCTGTTGTGATGGAGCCCGAAGAACGCAAGGCTGTCGCCCTCTTGCAGCAAATTCGCGCTCTGCGAAAGGACCAGGTGGCCCGCCGGAGAGACAAGAAGAACGAGAAGAGGGTCGCTCATCAGAAAAAGGTTGAGAAGGAGGATGAAAAGAGGACCGAAAAGGTCAAAGAACGGAAAAAGGAAGTTATGCGGGCAACTGGAAAGAAGAGTAAGCGAGAATCAGACATGGAAGAGGGTAGAGGAGCAAAGCGCAGGAAGACGTGATGATTTCGTACCATCTGGCAGTGCATCGCCCCTTCAGACCTCTCTTGTACCATGATCTGCATGCAATTACTCCGATCCTCCCCATCGTAGCAAAGAGGAAAGAGGGTATCTGTATATACATATAAAGATGTTACATAACGAGGTCAACGATAGATAGTGATACATAGTCATGTTTGAGCGACCATTTCGTTTCACGGTCGCAGAGCTTTGATTTCTGCCTCCACAGTACGCGATCGCTCGGACCGTTCCCGCTGCAACGGTATGATCTGAAAGCGGTCAGGATATATAGCAGCCCGAATCTACAACAAACCTGATCGAGCTCCCCTGTGACTGCTAATATACGCCCAAGTACTGTTTCTGATGCATATTGAGCGTTCGAAAGCCAGTGGGAATGAGCTGCTCACCATCGACTTCCAGTTTCGGTCCCTCTGAGGGCTCATCGACGTCCATGTCTTGCAACGGGTCCTCCGCATCGAATTCTTGATCCAGCTGCTCACGTTCCTTGATCTGTTCCTGAAGTGCATTCGCCAAGGTGAGAGGCGTCTCGCGCCGCTGCTTCGCTATCTTCTGGTGCCATTCAAGACGACTTCCGGCCAAAGTCCAAATCTTCCGGTCAAGCGCCTCATCGAAGGGTTCAGCATCTAATGCCATGGAATCGATCAGTTGACTCTTCCAATAGAGAAGAAGGCTCGTGTCACCTTGTTCGTGCGGTTGCAGAGTAACAAAGTCGCGTCCATTAATTCGTATGTTCGCCTGAGCAATCTTGAAAACAGACTCGACGTTCTGAATCGTATTAGCGCATTTATTAACTCATTGAGCATTCCCCAGCCTCACCTCGTGTGCACGAGCAAGTAGTGCTTCCTTCTGTTGGGGTGTGAAGTTGCGGCCCTGCATTAAATTCTCGACAATAGCCTCGAGATCGCGGGTGTATTTGGCTTTGATCCCCAGCCACACGCGCATAGACGGAATCGAGATACGTGGAAGTTCGTCGTCATCCATAGTCGCGTCTAACGGAGACCGTGATGGTAGGGTGTGCGAGTGAGTGGTTGATGACGTAGGCACGTGGACGCGAAAACACGTTCACGTGCAAATTGCAATCGCGTCTTGTTGAAATGTGACAGTGTGTGACACACGTTACACCCATCTTCCATGATGAGGAGACACGCTAGAGGCCCTGTGCTTGACAATCCAGTTATGGACCTCAGCATACAAGGGGATAAGCTCGAGCATGACCGAATCCAGCTCGAGCAGAACCTTCAACACACCGACCTCTCCCTCCATCTCTCTTCCCAGGACGATGACACAGTGGAATACCCGCGACACAATTCCGCTCCATCCGCGTTCCACGAGTTCGTCTCGTTTGATCGTCACTCGCGCGACTACGACCAGGATATGCAGAGCCAAATTCACGCCTGGTCGTACGGCGCGGGCGCTGACGACGATGAAGGAATCAGTCCATACGGCGAGACACTTTCAACTGCCGCCCATCACGCAAGCGCCCTCACGCTGAGTGCTGGTCTGGGTGGAAGACGCGGGAAGCGGGATGCCAGTCTCAGTGGAGCTGAGTACGACCCTGAGCGACCTCTGCACGACATGATGGCCGCTGTGGACCCGAAGCTGAGTATCTTCGACGCCGATCCATCTCGCTCGCATTATGAGGTGTGTTTGACTCTCCTTGACGTCTGATTTGAGTTCTCATGATGACGATATAGCATGTGTATGAATCGTTCCGTAGCCCTGGCAAACTTGACCGCGTGCTGGAGTCTGGCCATGCCCCCATATCCCACTCCCGCTCTGTGCGGATCCGTTCACCTCACTCCTCTGCGAGCTCATCCGCATCTTCCGACTCGGACAGTCCCCGTCCGCGTCTAGCCGATGCATTGCAGCGTGTCTCATTTTCTCCCAAGCGCCCACGTAGTCCGCAAACATCTTCGCACCAGCCCAACCATCGTCACGCTCAAGTGCCACCGTCTCCCCTTACACGAAACGTCTCTGAATCGCACAATGCAACACCTCGCCCACAACGTCGACCTGCCACCGTCGCGCCTTCACCTTCACCTCAGTCTCAATTCACTAAAGCGGCGCGAGGGATCACGCGAGATCTCGTTGAGGAGCAAGACCAAATGAATGAGCGCAATCCCTTCTCAGACCGTAGCCATCATAAGGAGAATGGGCAAGCTCATCATACAACATCCCAGCATCGCGGAACTACGCATAAATCACGCATCTACTTGCCGGATGTGACCGGTTTGACGAATGCCGTCGAGTCGCCGGCCAAGGCAGGCGGAAAGTACAATGCCTATTCTGCTGTAGATCGACCACGAGACAGTGAAGGTTTGCTCGAGCTTTGTTCTCTGTCTGCATGATTCTAATCCAGCCATAGCAAAACTGCTCTCCATCTTGTCCACGGTACAGGCCAAGCTTCATGAACTCGAAGACGAGAACGCGATATCACGACGCAGAGTGCGAGAATTGGAACTTGAACTAGAGGCATGTAAACGGGAAGTCGCGAGAGAACGTACCAAGATCCTGGAGCAGGAAGAACTCAGTATGCGTTACGAAGCCAGCGCGAAAGGCAAAGGCAAAGCCCGAGCATCGAACCGGAGCTTCGACTCGAGTGACCTCGTTGAACGGTACAAAGAGGCGGTTGAGGAAAAGAAAGGTATGCAGCTGCTCGATTCTTGTCGTCCTTGTGATGAACATACGCCTATAGCTTTGGAATCTCTGATCTCGAGCCTAAGAACACACCTCACCCGTCTGACCGCAGAACTCTCCTCTCATCAAGAGCTTCTGACAGAGTTGCGCCTCTTGCGGGAAAAGGACAGCAAGGCATTGAAGGAGAAGACAGGGCAGGTCGATATATTGCGACAAGAAGTGGAACGACTTGCTGGAGAGGTTGAAGTGCTTCGGGGAGTGGTCGAAGAGGGACTGCGAGAGCGACGGGCCACGAGAGATGCATCCGAGTCGCATTCCGACGCCGACGTAGGAATGACTGCTGATCTCGAGGAGACCACTTCCGAGGAGGAGGATGATGACGAGGACGAATCATTCAGAGATGACGACGTGCAACCGTCGGATGGCTCTCAACACGAAGAACATTCCGAACCTGAACCCTTTGATCCCGAATCCATTCTAGGTTCATCACGGCAGAACTTGGACCGAACTATGCGAACAGATCATGCTACGCTCGGATCAGCCTCCAATTCTGTACCGCGCCAGTTGTCTCGGGACGTTGAACTGGAGCGCATCGCTGCCGACATCGAAGAACGCCGGTCCGAGTTGTCGCACCAGTCGTCACAAGAACGCTCACGTGCTTCGACACCCACACGACAGCGTCGAAGACCGACAGTAGAGGAGGTTTCTGAGACAAACAGTATGCCGAGTCGGGCCCCGTCTCCGGTCTCTCGTACAGCCGCAGTCCGGCGCCCCGCTGGACCAACACCGTCTCGAGCAAGAGCTGAAGGAGAGCCAGAGACGCCGTTCCCGCAGATCCGGGGTGCACATTTGGAGCGTCTGTTCTTCTCTGCGCCAGAACACAACGCTCGCAGTTGCACTGTATGCTGTCGACGTCGAGAACCTATCCAAAATCCTCCCTCATGGCTGTCTCGCCGGAACTTGGAAAGGTCGCGGGATGAGGATGAGATTCGTGGTGAGAACGACGTTGACTACAAAGCAGCAGCGCGGAAGGCTGGTCTGCCACCGCAGACCCTTGTCACACGGGTCATCCGGGACCTCGAGGACGATTTCACACATTACAAGGGGTTCGTTTCCTCGGCTGCCCTCGCCCGATTGTATTGACATCCGATCCAGTGTCTATGTTGAACTCGCAGACCAGTACAAGGAGATGGACGCTGTTTCCGATGTCCCTAAGCGGAATCTTACTGCAAAGCATCTCCGGGAGGTGGTCGATATTCTGGAACAAAAGGTGTGTTTTATTTTCATGTGTTCTGAGATGAAGTAACTAAGTATCACTTTCAGGGCGACCAAATTGCGTCGTTGTATGATTGTCTAACTTTCAAGGACAAACCTATTCCCAAACAGTAACTATTTTTCACTTATTTATCAACTACGACACCTTCACTGTATATAACAACTACATTTAGCCTACCCACACATCTTGTTTGTAGCTTCACACAACGCAGATTAGATCCTCGAAATCATTGTTAAAGGTGCTTTTGAGCTATTATTAACAGCATTCCCTGTTTGGGAACAGCCTAGCACCTTCTATCCTTTTCTATCGCCCAAACAAATGCCCGAAACTTCTGCTCTCAAACGACCATGTCGACGTCTTCTGAACGGCCTCTAACCTACTTTGACCTCACCATTGGCGACAAACCACTCGGTCGCGTCGTATTCCAATTGTACACCGACCTCGTCCCCAAAACGGCCGAGAACTTTCGTGAGCTGGTTCCGATGTTCAATGTGTGCTTCCCACCCATCTTCCCTTAGGTGCATTGTGCACTGGAGAACGTGGAATCGGCAACTCAGGGAAGCCATTATGGTATAAAGGATCTGGATTCCATCGTGTTATCAAAGGGTCAGTCGAATGCGTTCTTCAGGGCCAACGTATGTACCGACCACCTCGAACAGCTTCATGTGCCAGGGCGGGGATTTCACTGCAGGGAATGGAACCGGTTTGTTCTTCTCGATCTGGCCCACCCCATCGCGCGCCCTCATCACGATCTAGGCGGTGAATCCATCTACGGCGAAAAGTTCGAGGACGAGGCGTTCACGGTCAATCACACGCGGCCGTTCCTGCTGTCCATGGCCAACGCCGGTCCCAACACGAACGGATCGCAGTTTTTCATCACCACGGTCCCCACCGCGCACCTGGACGGCAAGCACGTCGTGTTTGGGGAGGTGATCAAGGGCAAGTCTCTGATCCGGCAGGTCGAGAACTTCCCGACGTCGTCGGGAGATGTGCCCACCTCCCCGGTCGTAATCTCGGACTGCGGGGTGTTGTCTCCAGATGATCCTTCGCTGAAGGAGAACGCTGCTTCCGCCGAGGGCGACGCGTATGAAGATTTTCCGGAAGACAACGATGGGGACTTGAACGATCCTGCTACACTGTTGAAGATCGCGACTGAGTTGCGGGCGTTGGCGACTTCCCTTTACAAGGAGGGAAAGACTGAGTTGGCGCTTGACAAGTACCAGAGTGCGTGTTTGACTGTGTCCCTCGCACGGCATCTCATTCGTACAGAGGCCATCCGTTATTTGGACCATTCTCCTCCCCAAGAGGAAGAGAAGGAGATGGTTGATGCTTTCAACGCTATTCTTGCACCCTTGTTGCTGAACTCGGCCTTGATCGCCGTGCGCATTCGACCGACTTCGACCATGAATGCGACTGTGGCTGTCACGGCGACTACGCGGGCATTGAATAAGCTTGATCTGAGTCCGGCCGATAAAGGTACCTTCCTTTCACCTGCCCGCTTATCGTCCGTGGCTGACACCTGTCGAAGCGAAAGCTCTGTACCGTCGGGCTCTTGCCCGGGTGATCTTCAAGGACGAAGAGCAGGCCGAGGAGGATCTCGTGGCCGCGCTGAGCCATGTTCCTGACGATGCCGCCATCTCGAACGAGCTGGCGAACATCCGGAAGCACAAGAAGGAAAAGCGAGACAAGGAGAAAAAGGCGTATAAAAAGATGTTCAACTAATTGTATGTAAGTACTACAATCTAAGCAGACCAACAGTAGCGTGCGAAGCAGGTCTTGCAGATGCCGCTGCGCTCGATTCGTTTCCGTTCCCGTGCACGATCGCCCACGGCGCAGGCCAGACACGCAGCCCATTCGGGGTCCTTGTGAGAATTGCCGAGACTTGCTCCCTGGGTTGCGACAGTGAAAGTCTGCTGGAGCATCCCCTGAATTTCTGGCTCTGTGTAAATTCCTTGGCCCGTGGTCGTGTTGGTCAGGGGTGCCGACCCGTCGCGAGGGGGCGCGCCGTTGGCGATGTAGACCAACAGCGGCCCCGCAGTCTCGTCGCATCCGAAGAACGTCGGTCGGCTGGTCAGGCCCTCTGCCAAGAATGTGTCTGTCGTGTTTGGGACAGCAGGGAACCGAGCAAGGCCCCGAGAGAACATCTGCATTCGCTCTTGCCTACAGAAACACTGGTTCAACCACAAGACGAGAATCCCCAGATGTGCAGCAACTCACGTAGCAATGAGCGAGGCGCCCTGGGCATACCCTATGTTGTCGCTGACAGCGTCGATCTCGACGATGACGTCGACCTTGCGGTCCTTGACAAGCATGGGCTGCAGAGGCGAGACTTGGCCGTCCTCTCCCCCATCGCAGAGCGCGAGCACCGTCTCATGCGAGTCGGCAAATGTCTCGGGGGCAACGCCGTGAAACGGGTTCGGGTAGTTGCTCGTGTCGAGGCGGAGCGTATGGGGCTGCGGGAATGTGGCGTTCAAAATGGTCGTCAAGTTGCCAGTGGCCGCGGCTAAGGTGGCTGCCTGCACGAGAGGTGAGACGGGCTGACCCTCAAACACGAGGTGCGTGGCTCACCGTCACATTGAATTCGTTCCAGAGATTAGATGACGTCCCGGACAGGAACATGGCTTGGTCAAAGCCTACCGCGCAGAGAGTTTCGTTCGTAGATCCGATGTGTTTCAGAGGCGTGTGGGCAGCCAGAACGTCGTCATAACTGCCAAACTCGACTGTACGGCGGGGGCCATCAGCCCAAAGCGATAGAAAATACGAAAGGAAGCCCATACACAGATTGTATTCGAACATCGGAGTGTTCAGCGGAACAAAATTCCCGCCCGGGAAGATGGTGCCGTTGATATGCTTGGAGACGAGGTTGACAGTGATGATGGGAAGAGGCTGTTCATGGGCTTTGAAGGTCGGCCTGGAATCCGACTTGAGGCTTCGAGTTTTGAGCGATAACGTACACTTACAAGTTCATCAGATCCGAGAACAGGATGTTCGAGCCATGGGATCCCGGGCCGAAATAGTTGTCGGCAAGGGTGCCATTGGTGAAGTGGCGGGCAAGCCCCCGTCCCCAGATGTCTCCGAATGAGACAGGGAACGATCTCGCCTTGACAGCGATCTCGTCCAAAATCTGCCGGATCAAGGCTGGCTGGTCGGACGCGTTGTTGGCAGTCACCAGTCCCTCCTGGAAGAGCCATCCGGCGTAGTCTTGCTTCTTGCCGTCGCCGAAGATCAGGTGCTGGATCGTGGGGAAGTTGGCCTGCGCAAGCGACGTGACAAGCCATGATCCTCCACTCAAGCCCGAGATGTGGGTCGCGGCCTGCAGCAGCCCTCCAGTGCCCTTCTTCGCAGCAGACGCGTTCCTGCCATCGAGCGCGTTCAAGACACCGGCACCGAAGATACTTGCTGTGACACTCGATCAGAGCCAGCCCGCGAAACCTGGCTAGCACTGCGCCGCGCCGCATGCTCACCTCGATATCCTCCGCCACTAGTGCTGATCCCAACCGTAGGCAGCTCATGTCGGTGCTCAGATTCCAAGATCTCCGTCAAGTACTGTGGGAGGTGCACCCCCGTGCCTTGGACGTTTTTGAGATAGGTCTTGAACGCCCCGGTGTGGGCCACCTTCTCGAGCCGTTTTTGGGCGTAGTGTTTTTCGGTGGAGCTGATGGATTGACCGCGGCGCACGAGCTCGAAATCGGCCGGACAGCGCTCAAATGATGGGCCAATCGCAGCAGACGCGGAGGTGGAGGCTGCGAGCAGGGCGACAACTAAACCACTGCGCATCGTGCGGGAGAGCGGGGGCGTTCGACGTAGACACGGTCATCTTCTGGAGCGGGTGGGACTTATACCTGTCCCGATGCCGGTAAACGTGCAGAGTCTCCGATTGGTAAGAACAATTCGATTTCAAACACGTTACACAAACGTGGGAGGTCAGGTCTAAGATGGAGATTTGAGCGTCGCTAATAGACGGCCCGCTGGTGATGGGATCATTTTGTTCCTTGAATTAGGGGCGGTCACTGCGCGACGCGTGGTGGCGGGGCGTCAGAGCCGATCAGCTGAGCTACACCACCAACCTGTCATAGCGTCAGGTTGATGTCAAGGTAGGACGTCAAAATGACGAGCTTGGCTTACATCTACTAGATGTTGTATAGACACACATGCTTCATCTTTCTCTTGACTTCGTTATGAAGCCTAAATTAAACTCGTCTTATATCTCTCTGAGTAGTCGTCGATACATCAGAACTGGACATCAAAAATTAATCATGTGATGCTTTACGGCGTTTTCGTGGGCGCTCATCTGCGCCAACTTCGTACTCGATGAACTCAAACACCATGGTCCCTGCTGTTGTACGCTCTCCCTGCGTGGAGCCCTCCTCCTCACTGTCTTCAGCCTCGGACACACCCTCATCTCTCGCTTTCTCCACTTCAGCCACGGCCCTGTCTGCTGCTTCACGTTTGGCTGCCGCGTTGACTCGTCGCTTTTCGGCAGTCCTTTTTCGCTTATTCGTTTTGATGGATTGGGCTTTGGAGGACATCTGCAAGTGGAAAGATCGTCGATCTAATTGCAGTGGACGAAGTTCCGTCATTGCAACGGGAAGGATGCGGCAGAGTTGGATGTGGTTATGACATGCTGAGAGATTGAGGACAAAGTGGTCATTGTCTGAGTGCCGGATGAGCTGGATAGTCCGGTCTGTCTCCTCCCGCTCCTGTCTCTCCTTCCCACTTATGCTTGCTTTGCAGTCTCCTCGCCGACAGTCGTGCTGAACCGAAATCGCAAACTGGATCGCACTTGCATCCAAGACTAAGAAGTTCTTAGACCCCAAGACAATGTCCGCACCCGTGGGACGACGCAAGATCGGCCAATCGAAGTCTGGATGCCGTTGCTGCCCCATGACAAAGCATTCTATCGTGACCACAGGGAGAGGTGCGTGGAGAAGTTCAAGTACGCGGCCGAAAATGACCTCGTTCCCATTGTCAAATGCCACGATCCATCCTCCTTTTTCCACGGCATCTCCGCTCTGTGCCGTCAGTGTCTGGCCGGGTCGCCATAACTCAGTCACGAATCGTGCTGTGACATCTTCAGGTAAGGATGTGTCTTGATACCTGCAGGCCTGTGTATGATGCCATTCACAGGGGACATTCCTCCGTTGTGATGCAGCTGAGATTGTTCCTGGTCTGACGTCTTTTGGGCACGACCAACCAAGCAAACGTTGGAATATAGTGTCATTGCGAAGCACATGGCAGACCGCTTCTCCAGCATGTACCCAACGATCTTGTTTCGTGTCATGCCAGAGCCCGCCGCAAAGTAAGTGTTTCATCCGTGCCATCGAAGCGAATTTCATGCTGATGTCCCGACTAGGTGCTTGGCGATTACTGTAAACAGAGCACAGTCGGAAAACAGCGTTGAAAGACTCCTGAGTCTCGGTCGAACTTCTGATAAGCGGTCCAAAGCGACGTATGTCATCTGCAATGTGCGTCAAGAGATGTATCTTGATCTTGTCCAGAATTCGGGATGGGTCAACAGCGTCAAATGCATCGAGGACATTGGCGACAGCAATCCTGATCTCAGCAAGATATGCTGACATGTTGTCAATCTCTGGGACCCACAACCGAGCACCCAAGTCACCAGCGGCTTTGATGAGCGCGAATTGCTCAGGAGTTGTGATTGCGTGAACATGGAAGGTGAGCGTCTGCATAAGTATCTTGAAATGTTTTCCGATGAGATTGTTCTTATATTGAATCATGTAGGCTGCTCGGATAGGTGGAACATCGAGACCACTCAAGTCCATGGATTGAAGTCGAATAGCGAGTAAGCATCGGTCTTCATCGGACCATTGGTTATTCATGAAATGCCAGATGTACTTCATGATCCCGAGCAGGATTGTATGCAACAGTTCGACTGGGGTATCCTGCGAAGGATCAAGTCCCAAAAGGTCAAGTAGTGGGTTCATCTTGTCGCCAGCTTGTCTCTCCAGCCACTGATTTAGCTCGACAGCAATGTCTTCAGGTCGTCGTCGAGAACCTGATCGCATTTCCTTGAACCTGGCAAGCAATAACCCGATCCAGTGTTGGGTGATCTTGTCCTTCGTGCCTGTGGATCTCTGGAGCTCCTCGATGGCTTTGGAATCACCGTAGGATGCGAGGTTGAGCTGTGTTTGAAGACAGGTGCGTATCTCGGCTGCTGTACGTGCGATTCCTGGATAATGACACTGATGATAGACTTCATCGGACTCTTTCTCAATCTTCTTCCCCCCCAGTGGCACCTGCGACACGGAAAGTTTGCGTTACTTCCCATATGACATGCTTCTTCCGACTGCTGTGGATTGTCGGCTGGCAACCCCGGGACCCGAAGAACGACACGAGCTTTCTGTTTGGACGCAGCATTAAAGCATCGAATGGGACTGGTTTCCGTGGCCTTGACTTGATCTCGGAAGGCAGAGAACTGCTCGGCGGATGTGGCATGTGGAGAACTCGAAAGGAAATGGACATGGAATTCCTGCTGAAGGAGACGTCCAGGAAGGCATCCGTTGCCTGTGTACATATTCATGTGCTTATTGTATTGTTTTGATCGGTTTCCGGAAACATCGTCAGCCCAGGGTGATATCATGACCACAAACAAGTCCTCGTCTTCGTCGACCAGTTTGCGCTGCACATTAGGCATTTCTGGGACGTGCTCGCTAGTGTGCGTCCAGTTTAAGTCTTCCCCAAATTCAGCGATGATGTCCAGGAAGTCCGTTTCGAGATCAGCAGCAAGGATCGTTCTCTCCTCATTGGAGATCGTCCAGCTGCCATCGGAGTTATGTATGACCACAGATGCGTCTGATGTGAGAGCTCCTTTGCGCATGATCCATGAATTCGGAATCACAAAATGTCCATCAGAATGCCGAGCCAACTCGCCAATCCACCACCGCTTGTGACCGCGACTGTACATGGGTGTCAACTGTGATGCCGTGTACTCAAACCACCTCTCCGCTTGATACACTTCAGAAATGGGGCCCGAGGTCTCCTCTGGGTAGAAATGCAAGTGTGGGGCCACCAGAGGATTTGCCAGATCACAAGCGATGGCATCGCGAACATCGTTCATATAGAAGACATTGTTGAACTGCGAAACACATCGCACAGGTTGGTGACCTGTCTTTTCCTGCAGTGTTTTCTGGAACTGACGGAACGATTTCAGCGAAGGGATATCTGGAGCTCCGAGCTGCTTTGCGAAGTGGATTATGAGTGATATTTGAAGACTCGTGAAACGACATCGCGGCATGTTATCCATTATATCAAGCAACATGGTCTGGGATTTCCGGTTCAGTTCCACTTCTTTACGAGCTAAGAGAACTCACAGCTTTATTTGGATACGGATCGTATTCGGGTGGAGGCCGAGCATCGAAGTCAAAACATTGATCATCGTCTGAGTCATCCGCATCCTCGACATCCAAACTGAAATCTTCACCACTGGCTGCCTCAGCGACAATCTCATCATTCGCTTCAAGGAGCATTTGCTCAAATTGTTGGGCCAGCATTGCTCTCCGTTCCGCTGGTGTCCTGGGCTCGTCGTTATTCAACTCCGAGTCAAGCCCAAATTCGGTCATCAGTGCCGCTGTCTGTGCAATGTCCGACCATGCTTCGTAACTCGAGGAGGCTGAGATTTCGGGATTAGGAAGTGGATCGGAGAACATTCCAAGGTGTGTTGACGTCAAAGTTGGTATTTCCGCAGCGAGATTAAGACCACTTGAGTTGTAGGAACTTTCGACAGCAGCCATTTCAGACGCTTGCTGGGCAACGCGTGATTGGTGGTTGGTCCAGGCCGCGATATGGGTGCCAGATTGTAGATGGTGCTTCAGGTTCTTACGTTCCATAAAGCGCCCTGTTCCTGACTTCTTATCATGCAGACACGGGAGACATCGAACGCGAGTCTGCTTTGGAGAGTATTCCAAGTGCATCTCAAGTTCTGATCTCGTCAGTAAGCATTTTCTTACATGGATCCCGACGACTCAAATACCTCGTGGTGGCTGCCAGCACGGCGGTGCCATTCTCAGGCTAGATGAATGTTACAAACGGACAGTGGCTGGCCTGGAGCGGTGCGTTTGTTTTGAGAATCTCTCAGATGGACTGACAGCAACCATTCAGTTTTTGTTTGTTGACGGATCAAGTCTAAGTGGAACTTGATTTCTCTTCTGTTCGTCCATGGCTGAAGAATCGCTGATTCAACGGGCCGCTCGTCGCGCAGCTGCACAGGCAGCATCACTACAGTCCAGCAGAGCTTCAACCCCTGCAGCGAACCCAAGCTCTCCGATCCGTGGCTCTACTCCGTTGTCGTTGTTTGAACGCCGGGACAACACACCCGATTTCCCTCCCCTTAGTCAACCACGATTTCCAGGGTCTGTGAGAACCTTCGGGGAACGTTTTGCCAGGGACAGTAATCTCTCGGTGGAGGGCGAAGCTCTGATCCACAGCTCTACTCCGTTTTCGTTGTCTGAACGCCAGGACAACACACCCGAGTTCCCTCCCCTTGGTCAACCACGATTTGCAGGATCTGTGAGAACCTTTGGAGAACGTCTGGCCAAGGATGGTAACCTCTCTGTGGAGGGCGAAGCTGAGTTTCGACGTTACTACGAGGTACAATCTCCTTGTCTCTCTTTCGCTAGTTGACGTCCATCGCCATACTTTTCTCTTCCAGACACTGAATAAGGACGAGCGTGACACGTTCGGTGCCTTCCTTGTCGTCCAGACTAAAGACCTTCTTCGTAAATTGACTGATAATGTCGCAAGCAGCCCCAAGGACGTTGAATATAGCCCTGCTGATTCCTTGGTGGTAAGTTGTTCAATGTCTTTGTGCACACATTCACCCATGCCTCATAGAAGATCTCACGGAAATATGTGTGGGCCATCCTCTGTCTTCCGAACCTGGCCTACTACACTGGGACAATTGAAGCTGCCGTTATTGTGTGTGGTCATAATCTCATACAAACTATCACTAATCATCACTCGGAGTCGACATTGAATATCATGAAGAATAAGCATGTGCCGGACTTGGATGCACCGGATTACAACAACTTTCTGTCGTGGCTTGGTCGCCAGATCTCTCTTTACCGCTCGATCATGAAAACACATGGAAGTTTTGGTCACTTTCTCGACATGAGTAGCTCCTGATCACCCCTGTAGGTTTCGGACTCTCTCAAGACTCGGAATAAGGACAAGAAGAACATTGCATTTGTTTGCGCGCAGATCCTTGATCATGTCGACTCCTCTGTGAACCCGAATCGAGCATTCTACATGCGGGTTGCGTATATGGCATGTATTACGCACATAATTCTTGTTCTGTACTAATCACATCTTTGTCTGTGCACTCACAGAGGTACCACCTCAAGAAAGGCCATCCTGTGAAGGCCTATTGGGACAAGGTTGACGAAGAGATGGAGCAGTTGCGTAACGCTGGACCAACACATCTCATTCTGTGTGTCTGCTGGTTTAATGGACAATTGGTCCACGCTTATGAATGTAATAGGGGACTGGAAGAGGTTTATAACGACGACATTGCAACATATGGAAATCCGGCCGACACCGATTACACAATCGGAGAATCAGCTCTCCCGAAGGATAGCCCGAAGTGGCTCTCGGCACTTTCAGCTCAAGCCGCAAAAGTTCAACGCTTCAGCCGAAAGCAAGGGAAGAAGCGTAGCCGGCAGCAGAGAGACGAGGATGAGGATGAGGACGAAGTTATTGTTGAGGATGATCTCCCGCGCCCTAGTCCTTCGTTGCGGGCTGTGTCTCGCTCCGGAAGCTTAGCACCTGTCGGCGCAGATGCTGAGTTGGCAAATTGATCAGGATAGTTCTACTGATAGTAAAAGCCTTCTTCAATGAGATTAAGTATCTTGAGCATCATAAGAATGGATGAGCGACAAATTCCAGAATTGTCTCTGAGCACAGTTTTGATTGTAAAAGAAGTCTCCGTAGTGATATAATGACGTGTCTGTTTACATTATATTGAGGTCTACTACAGACATAACAAGGATGTCAGGTCAGGAAGACGACATTCTGATTGGCTGTTTGACTACAGTCTGACCATAGGCAAGACATCGGGCTAACGTCCTCGACATATGTCAAGCGGTGTTAATTATCGACATCATCAAGATGACAAGTCCAACTGGTGGTGTAGTTGACACTGACGCTGACAGAGGACGACTTGACCGATGGCCCCATGTGCAGCATTGCTCACCTGCGACAGTATTGTCTCTGTCTGCCACTGCGGAGTATTCACACAGTTTCGCCTGTCAGTCAACGACGCTCGACAGTCTTGTCTTGTCCGTTCATGTCATCTATTCTTGGCGTGATGTGCGACGATCGAGCTCAGTACATACAATAATGCCGCTCAGAAGTTGTCGAGAAAAGCGGGATCCCACTTGTTTGAATCACTGGATATCCTGTCAGCCGTTTCGAAGGCTCAGAAGGCGGCAGGACGCAGACCTCATGGGTTCCATCCCAGCGAAATCGGACAGCGTCCACATGGACATGAAATCGTCGTTCATCGCGAGGTCGCTCGAAGTTTCGGTGTGCGACCACAGATTATCCTGCAGAAGCTGCTCGATGGACATGCCGTATTGGAACTCGAATTCAGAGCTAGCAACAGCGCTGTCGGCCGGACATCCAGCCGATTCCTGATTGTTGGAGTGGGGTATATATATCTTCAGAGACTCTAGAATCTCCCATAAACGGCCAGCGGATTGATTTCTGGAAGAAATTGATGCGTGAACGGTGTCGATGGCCGGACGCTCGTACCGTGCTTCTGCAAACTTCATGAACCTCTGTGCCGCTTCCACTTGCACAAAATCCCTGGAGCTTGCGGGACCAGCTTTCCGAGACCCAAACATATTGAGGACCAGCACCAAAGAAGCTACAATCACCGAAGTCTTCGGGCTCTGTCAGCACGCCAGAGAAAGATTCAGATGGACTGAATCGGCCTACGATCATCGTCTGTGACGGCATGACCTGCAGCCGCTGCAACCACGCTTCGGCAGTTTGGATTATGCAGCGCGCGGCACCAACACAGATCGAAAGCGAGGGAGCAGCGAGAGGGTTGTCTCTCTTGATAAACGGCCGGTGGATCTGTGCTGCATCAACGCATGGCCACATGACGCCCTCCAGATCGCACGGACCACAATCTGCACATAGTTGTACTGGGCATAGAGCAGCGCGGCTTGGTCGAATGTCGTCTGATCTTTGGGGACGTTCTCCGTCTTCCAACGGACTGGCAGCGAGTCAGCCACGTACAGTAAGCAGCACGACATTGAGCTTACGATGTGTCGGCACGGCGGACAACCATGCATTGATCTGCGAATCGAGGCTCTTGACAACGTCTTCTTCCCATTCGGGTCCGTTCCACCCCATCAGGAGCTTCGACTTGCGCGACCCGTATAGCCGTCTCAAGGCATCCCCCAGGATCTGTGCCGAGATCAGCATCACGACTGGATGAGATCCCACACCACCAACCTCGCACAACCGGATATAGTGCACGAAAAAGGAATAAGACGCAGGCTTGTCCGGCGGTTGCTGAAAGTCGTCTTCCCAATACTCATCGTCTACTTCCAACGGAAGATCTGTGTCGTATCTGACGTCAAGTTTTAGCCTGCTAAGATGAAAGGCTATTCTGAGTTACTCTTCAACATGAAAGCCTGGCATAAGGCTCAGCAAGCTTGCATAAAGCCTTGGGTTCACGCCACTTACCGGCTGGACGTCCGATGTGGGTAGACAGAGTCTGGTCCAACACAAACACTGTCCTGTGCACTGTTCAGAAAGTCAGATGTCAGAGGGACGGGCGCAGTTACCAGAAAGCCCGACACCACAACTCATCATCGCCCCGCCGAGTCAATCTGTCTCGCTTTCTGCGGTGCTCGCCCAATTGCTGGAGGTGGGACACTGCCTGGCTCTGTCTCTGTCTCAGTGCTTTCGATCCAAGAGAGTGCTGATCGTCGACTTGCAAGATAGTTCCGCGCCGTCTGTTGAACAGACGTCCCTCGGATGTAGACCGTCATGAGCTGCAGAGGAATGGGTCTCAAGATGCTCCTCAGAGTCAGACAAACGCACGGCTAAATATTGGACTCCGTAGATCGTGGGCTCCCACATTCCGTGCATGTTCACCTGATTCGCAAATCTCCACCCGGACGACAGGGTTGATCGACCGTCACTGAGAACACGCGGGTCATCCGAGTACTGCATGTGTTCAATAAGTCTAATACTGGTCGACTTCAGTCTGAATGCCACCTACCCTCGATGCTAGAGCTAAAACAGTCAACAACAAGGCCCCGAAATCCTTGTTTCTGAAGTGAAGCCCCTGAGAGACACAGTGCTCGAAAGACGGTCGATGCAGAATGGGCAGTGTGGGGTGGACGAAAGCGAAGTACAAGTGGACTAGTCTCGCGATCATATCTTGCTCTGGATACATGTACTGTGGCATCTGAGCTCTGGTGACGGCTTCCCACTGCATACGTGATGAGACACCATCTCCACTGTCGACAGCCAATCGTACCGGAGGCAGAGTGTAGAATTGAGGACGCTGGTCAGTGGCGATGAATGTCTGTCCAAAGTACGTCTCGACAGCCTGGAAAGACGATCTGACTTCCGTTCGATGACATCAGACTGGGCGCGAATAAACGCACCTTCATTGCCGTATGCGCCAAGCTGAAGCAGCTGGAGGCCCTGTTGCCCAAGAACGAATGAGATGTGATGCTAGCCCGAAGAGCGAACATACCCATAGAACTTATTGTTCATAAGCGACATCTCCGAGATGGAGAACTGTTCCAGGCGCTTCGCCAATTCTTCGCCTTCAAAGTCCTCCTCCACAGGCGGGTCCTTCTCCACCGAAGTGACCTCTATATTCTCTTTGTCTCTCCTGTCTTCAACAAACACGGAGTCGCTGGAAGAAGAATCGGGACTTGAGTGGTTCGAAACCCGGTGTTGCAGAGGCTGGGCGCAAAGAGAACAGATAGACTGAGAGCGTAATTTAGACTCCAGCGACGCGATCTTCTTCCTTAGTTCGTCCACCAGCCTATGTCCGCGCATTGAGATGAGGTAGACCTGCGCGAAGATCGACCGCACCTATCCTTGGGCCCTCGTTTCTGGGTGTGGGGTTTAGATCGAGGAGTCCATAGACGGTGAAGCGCGCACCTGCGGCGGCGCCAAGTATGCGCACTCGGTCCCGAAAGCGGCACAGTTCGAGCAGATCTTGTTCTCCATATACGGACCATCGCCTGTGTCGTGCCTCAGTCACGGTGTTCGAATCAAGGAAGCCCATGACAGTCTCACACCGGACTGAGCAGCAGATGCGAAGCCAAAAGGTCAACGTTACTAGATCCAGGATCAATGGAAGCCAGAACCGCACTCTTTCGTGATCTGCAGCTATCACAACTCCGGCCAGGCCTTCTGTGCCGTTGGCGAGAGTTGGCGGGCTCTCCGGTGCGGCCCTCGCCGTCATGTTCAGGTTGGGCCATGAGAAGATGATTGTTCAAAACAAGTGTGCTGCGCCAAGATTGTTTGAATTGAATTGTATTGTATCGCTCGCACACGGTCTCGGGCCACCGCGACTAGAACAGACAAAACTTGCGAGGACGTTGGAACATAAATAATTCATTCCAGCCAATATTACTAGAGAACGTTGTACGTGTAACAAGGGCCTGATTTGTGGTATCAGGTTATGCATTTATTTACGAGGACTTGTCAAAGTAGGCTTCAAACGCGGTGTTGACGAAAGCTTCAATCTCCTTCTTGTGCTGGATCTTGCTGCCCGTGGCGACAGAGCTGGTGGGCTCGCGACCTGCGTAGAACGGATACTTGCCCTTGTGGTGCTCGGTCTTGTTTGCAGCAGTGTAAATTCTAGGGCCAACGTAGCTCCAAGCACCGTTGTTCAGAGGCTCTTCTTGGCACCAGAGCAAACTGGCGTTCGGGTACTGGTCGAGATGTGGTTGGATCTACAGAAGGAAGTTGAGCGTTCTGACAGCGACAGAGACGGATCTGGACCCACCAAGTCGTAAGGGAACGGAGACAGTTGTTCGATTCGGCTGATGACAACATCATTCCGTCCGCGTTCTTCACGGGCAGCCATCAGTGTCTGATAGACCTGACCGGTGCAAAGAATGTGGCGCGTGATTTGCTCGGGAGGGAGCAAGTTCTCAGGGTGCGGGTCCGGAATGTAGCGCTGGAAGTGGGTGTCGCCGACCATTTCCTCGAGATCAGAGCGGGCTTTAGGATGACGCAGGAGATTCTTCGAGAAGAAGACAATCAACTGGAAAGCACATTGCATCAGCAGTGAACCGACGTCATGACTACTAAACCTACCGGCTTGCGGAAGTCCCGGTGAATCTGGCGACGAAGAACGTGGAACTGTGGAAATCGTCAGCCAGAGAAGGTGAGACATGGCGAAGTTGCTTACGTAGTTCGCTGGGGTCGTGGGGTAGACAACTTGCATGTTGCAGTCCTGGTGCTGGCGCTCAATCTTTTCCGGAGTAGGGAACACATTGGGATGGTCGTCACAGAGTTGCAAGAAGCGTTCAATACGGGCGCTGGAATGCTCAGGTCCTTGTCCGTCATAACCGTGAGGCAAGCTCATCACCAGGCCAGTGCGCTGGAGCCATTTGCGCTCTCCCGCAGCGATGAACTGGTCGATGATACATTGCGCGTTGTTCGCAAAGTCACCGAACTGGGCCTCCCACATAGCGAGCGAGTCGGGAGAGACCAAAGAGTAACCGAGCTCAAAGCCGAGGGCACCGTATTCCGACAACGACGAGTTGCACACAACGAAGCGAGCCTGGCCAGAGCCAAGGTTGTTGAGGGGGATGTACTGCTGTTCGTTGGCCTGATCGTGGATCACCGCGTGGCGCTGAGAGAATGTGCCTCGCTCGACGTCCTGTCCAGAAACCCGGACGTGAATCTTCTCGAGAGCAAGCGATCCGAAGGCGAGCGCCTCGGCTGTAGCCCAGTCGATGTTGTTGCCCTCGTCGACGGTCTTACCGCGGGTGGCGAGGATACGGGCCAGGTTGCGGTGAGGAGCAAATCCATTCGGGTACGAGGAGATGACCTTTCCGATGTGTTTGAGGGTGGCGACATCAGAACCGGTGGTGCGCGTCGGCAGAGTCTCTTCAGCCAGCTTCTTGGGCGAAGGGAAGCCAGCCCAAGATGCAGAAAGCCATTCACGGGCAGTGGGAACGTAGTCCTTGGCCGCAGCAGCCGCCGTCTCCAGAGTGCTCCACACCCAGGACTTGTGGTCCTCAATGTCTTTCTCGGTGAACGTGCCGCGGCCAATGAGGAACTGAGAGTACTGCGTGAGAGGAGTCGGCTGTTTCTCGATCTGCTTGTACATTCTGGGTTGCGTGAAGCTGGGCTGATCCGTCTCGTTGTGTCCATAACGGCGGTAGCAAACGATGTCGATCACAACATCCTTCTTGAACTTGGCGCGATAGTCCGCAGCGAGCTGACAGACAAAGTTGACGGCCTCGACGTTGTCACCGTTCACGTGGAAGATGGGGGCGTCGATGGACTTGGCGATGTCAGACGGGTACGGGGTGGAGCGTGAGAAACGAGGGTCAGTGGTGAAGCCGATCTGGTTGTTGACAATCAAGTGGATCGTTCCGCCAGTGCCGTAGTTGGCCAAGTTGTGGAATCCCATGGTCTCGTAGACAATGCCCTGTCCGGCGAACGCAGCATCACCGTGCAGCAAGATACCGAGGGCCGTGGTGTGGGACGCTTCGTCCTGCTCGAAGTGCTGGATGGCACGCGTTTTGCCAAGAACGACAGGATCCTCGGCCTCCAAATGCGACGGGTTGGCAACGAGAGATAGCGAAACCTTCTTTCCGGATGGAGTGGGTCGAACGTAGTTGGCACCCAAGTGGTATTTGACATCTCCCGCTGGTGAATCATCGTCCGCTGTACCCGAAAATTCGTTCAGGATGGCCTCGACGGGTTTCCGGATAACGTTGGCCAAAACATTCAAACGCCCACGATGGGGCATGCCGATGGTGACATGCTTCACGCCGTGGTCAACAGAGCGGTCGATAAGAGCCTTCATTCCTGGAATCAACGATTCACAGCCCTCCAGTCCGAAACGCTTCTCATTCGGGTATTTGCTAGCCATGAACTTCTCGAAAGATTCGGACCAAATCAATCGGTCCAGAATCATGCGCTTTTCCTCCACAGTGTAGTTCCAGGGTTTTGGAATCTCGATGCGTTCTCGGATCCAGTCACATTGTTCCTTGTCCGGAATGTGCACATATTGAATGCCGACGGCACCACCTTGAACCTGCTTTGAACACCGGCATCCAATGACAAGCAACATGCTCACAGTATATCCGTTTGCACAATTTGATGATTTCGGACAGGGACATTGACTTTCGATCCTCGCTGGCAAAGTGGGGGAGAATTCCGGGCCCTAATGTGATCTGCTTGTCAAGATCGCGTTCTGTAAACCCGTAATGGCTAAGCTCGAGCTCTGGAGGCTTTCCGTCGTCGAGGTCAGCGTCCAAAAGGCCGAGCGGGTCCAACTCTGCAACGTGATGACCGCGCACTTGGTACGCGCGCACAAGCAATTGAGCCTGAATTGAGCATAGGTGAGCAAAGATCGAACGAGAGGAAAACGCGCAAGACCTTTAAATGGTCGTCCAATTCACCGCTACCACCGTACAACGCCGGAGCTCCGTCGGAGGGGACCGGAAGATGACGAGGTGGTGGGGTAAAAGCATTGGGACCCAGTCCTTTTTCGAGGCCCGAGAAGTAGGCATCCCACGAAACGTGCACGGACTTGGGGTCCTGCCTCCAATGCCTGTACATTTCCTCTGCATAGTACGTATTCGTCCCATTCGCAAACGGGTCGTTCGATGAGGGTGGAGCAGCGGTCGCCAAAGAGCGTATCTGGGCAGGAACGCAGACGCGCCGCAGCTGCGCAGTCTGCCTGGCGGCTTTAGCAGGCAGTCGGCTGAGGGCCGGCCTGGTAAACATGGTCGTGGTGGAACGAACGCTAGATGCAGAAAAGGGTGTGAGCCAGCGCAAATGGGGTCAGCGTGATGACCCGTGTTGATGTGTGACCGCCGACCCTACCCGGTTTGTGCGAGCCCGATGAAGCCGGCTGTGATCTTCCTCCTGGTTAGCAAATGTGGGACACAACATGTGCATTCAAGAGCCCGGAGACTCAGTACTCAGCGCTCAGCGCTCAATGATCCGCCCGAGCCCGAAGCTCGAGAGATGAATATCCTTCTGCAAAAGATCACGTCTGGTTCTGCTTCTCTGTGGTGCCACGTGCATTCGCAAGGCTACTCACTCACTGCCTTTTCTTCGCAAGCTCTATCACTGAGGTTCAGTAAAGCAGCTCCTACACACGACTGAACGTCAAGAACTCCCAATAAGCACGTGCGTATGTAACACATCTTCTAGCGCCTCTCGTTGACTTCACGTTGACTCCGTCGCACGCACTTTGATCCAGTTTGATGCCCTTAAATATCACATCTAATCTTATCCTTGGACATTCATTGCACAGCTTCTGCCTGTCATCATTTCTTAGCCGCACAGTAGTTGCAGGACCAACCCGCGTGTCGTTGAGAAGCCTATTAGCTTTTCAGTGCAAGACTTCCGCCAACTCAACATCCATTCGCCGGTACGTTCTTGCATGAGTTTCGTGACGGGGCTAATCTTACAAGATGGTCGTGCTTCGGACCTACCTTTCGACGACTACCTGGCGCACTCGTTTCTTCATCTTGCTTGTTCCATCTATCACATTTCTTCTGTACTTCTTCAACTTCCGGAGTCGTGACGGCCCTTCCGACCTCGAGTTTGTCGACCATGCGCCAGCGGACACTACCGTGACAACTCTACCCAACATCCTGCTCGTCTCTGCTTTCTTTCCGGCCTCCAGTTCCAAACATACCATGCGCGAATACGAAATTAAACTGACGTCGTTCCTCTCTCGAGTTTCCACTGATGTGTACTTCTACGTGGGGCCTGAGATGGAGCCTCTCATCCGCAGGTGCCGAAGCAACTTGACGATCACTATCGACACCAGCTACACATCCCCATTTGATACCCCGCCACTTACGGGTCTACAGGATCGTTATAAAGAGATGCGCGCTCTGGAGCGCGGAGGCTCCCGTCACTCACCAGACCTGTATGCCCGGCGCAACGCGAAACCGTTCTTATTGGATGCGGCTATGCAGAAAATGGCTGCGACGGGCAAGCAATATGACTATGCATTCTGGACCGACGCGGACAGTTTCCGTTCCAGTCACCGTTACTCTTCCTGGCCAGATCCCAAACGGGTCAATGAGATCTGGACGGAAGGCGCACAATTGACACACCAGCGGCCGGAAGACCTGCTCTTCTTTCCGCTTGCCGGAGTTCCACACTCGAGCATGCGATTTTGGATGCAGGATCACGGGCCTGTGGACAGCACATTCAGTGAAGGTGTGCTGGCTCCTTGGTGTCATGGCAATTTCAAGTGACACCCGCTCAGGATCCTTCTTTGGAGGCTCTGCAAAGACCATCGCGTGGTGGAAACGGACATATTATGCCTACCACGACCATTATCTGTCGCTCGGGATGTTTGTCGGGAGCGATCAGACCCTGGCGAATGCTCTCCTCTTATTATTCCCTGAACGAGTCGTGGGTGTCTGGGCTGGCGATCCCAACGCTGCTGGCTACAAGGAGGGACGAGGTCTGGGGGCATGTGGAGATGAGTGGTACTACTACCAGTTCTGGCTCTCGTCGACCCCGGAGAGAGCGGCCATGCGTGCCGTTTTCAAGCCACACTGGTGGACATTCAACCGGAACCGGGAAGCATGTCACCTCGCCGATGTCGCGGCCGTACCGGCTCTTCTACAAAGACAGTTCCGCAGCTGGAACCCGCCGATGCATACGATAGATGCATGAGTCCACTACGTAACATATCCACATACTCCCGGCGGACAAGTTAGAATGTGCTTACAGTACCCAGTCGTCTACTTTGTCGTCCTTAATCGCCCGAAATTCACGATTTTCGAGTATATGGCCTCCGGCATCGAGAATCACATCCTCGACTTCTGGCCTCGCTGCAACCTGAGGATAAAAAACACGATCACATGCTCATGCGGTCGCACTGCGCGTCCAAACGAATGATGTAATTCCATATGATGTGAACTAGCTGAGTAAATGACGACTCTCCCCCTCTCCCATCCGAGGATCGCATGTTCAGTTTCAGCCAATTGAGAGGCTGTGTGCGCAGCACGGCAGCTCCATTGAAATGTGCCGCCTCGCCTTTCCAGAGTGTTTATTGCATGCCATCCACAAGCCAGAAGAATTAAACGGGTAAGGCTTTCCCCATCGACTCCAGGCAACGTTCAAGCTGAATGTCAATCAGAAAACGCCCCGAAACCAATGGTCGCTCGTCCCACCCAACTCCCTGTTACGACTGGGAGACTCTTCATCTTGCTTGGCCTCTCCGTCATACTCCTCGTTTGTCTCTCATCGTGGCCGACGGGCGTCCCATCGTTGGTCTCCGAAGTCGCGATACTGGACGGCGAGAATGCATCGAATGCCAGCAGTGCGAGCCTGCCCAATATCCTCCTCGTCTCTGCGTTCTTCCCCTTATCCAAATCCAAGCATACCATGCGCGAATACGAAGCCTGGTTGACCCAGTTTTTGTCGCGGGTGTCGACCGACGTCTACTTCTATGCGGCCCCTGAGATGGAGCCGTTCATCCGCAAGTGTCGGGGCAACTTGTCGATTGTCATAGACACCACGTACGCCTCCCCCTTCGATATCCCACCATTGGCGGGCCTGCGGGATCGGTATCGAGAAATGCACGCCCTGGATCGAGAGGCTTTTCGACATTCACCCGAGCTGTATGCCGTATGGAATGCCAAGCCGTTTTTCTTGGACACAGCTCTGCGCCACTCAGGCAAGCAATATTCGCATGCATTTTGGAACGACGCGGGCAGTTTCCGGTCAAACCACCGATTCTCTTCCTGGCCAGATCCCCGCAGAGTGGAAGAGATCTGGGCGGAGAGCGCAAGTCTGACACGCGAGGCAGCAGAAGATGTACTCTTTTTCCCGCTCACGGGGGCGCCGCATCCGGACATGCGGTCATGGACGGAAGATCAGGGACCTGTGGACAACGAGGTCAGCGAAGGTGATTCTCTTCGTACTTGAAATACGTGCCTTCGCTGATGGGGAAACCAGGATCCTTCTTTGGAGGTTCTGCGCAGGCCATATCGTGGTGGAAACGCACGTACTACGCGTATCACGACCACTATCTGTCGCTGGGATTGTTTGTGGGAAAAGACCAGACGTTGATCAATGCTTTGTTCTTCCTTTTCCCAGAGCGAATCGTCGGTGTTTGGCAGGGAGACCAAGACTTTCCTGGGTACGACAAGAGTCAAGGCCTAGGGGCATGCGGGAGCGAATGGTACTATTATCAATTCTGGCTCTCGTCTCCTGCAGAAAGAGCGGCCATGCGCGCCATCTTCAGGCCACATTGGTGGTTGTTCGGTAGAGCCCACAACCCTTGCCAAGTTACCCGCCTCATAACCATGACCAGTCTGTTGCACAGACAGTTTAGCAGCGATTGGAGACCTCCAGTACATTCATTAGATATTGGTCGATAATATATGTTCTGTCAAATGGGATTACGCACCTTCGAAGTCACGGAAGACAAGCGACAGTCGGGACGCAAAACCAGAAAGCCACGTGATCGTATTTGGCACTGCCATACAAAACTCACTCCCCATTGCGCCAACGCGTCGCAACTGTCGATGGCCACCTCAACCTCTGCCTCTGCTGGCATCGGCGCGACAGGAACTATCCGTGCTATCACAAATCCACTTCGAAGCACCGCACCATCGCCCATTCCCGCCGCCTCTCAACTATATGAACCTCTGGCCAAAGAAGTTCTTCGCCGACGTTTGTCGACCCAGATCTTGCCCTACGCGTTAGTCGTGTCTATCCTCTCGAATCTCGTTTGGCTCGGGTGGTATGGGCTCTTTGGATTTGGGCCACTCTTAGGCGCGTCGCTCTTGGTGTGGACACTGGCGCTTGTCCCCATCGTACTCTTGAGGAAAACCTATCTCACTGGTCCGTGTTTCACTCTCTTGGCTGTAAATTGAATACCAATAATGTGCAGTTTCACACACTGGCGCGCCCTCTCCCCTTGCGCTACTCCAAAAATCTTTCTCTGTGCCTTTGAGGCCCAGGACATTTGATGCTTTGCGAACGCACACGTTGTCCGCATTTGCTATCCTTGCAGCTCACGTCATCTTCGATCCCAAAATGCCGGTGTTTGTCAAGTCGCGGTACGGGGATACTCTTTACAGAACGTGGCAACTAACGAGTAGTAGCAAGCATCCATACACACCTCATCCAGTCTTAGTTCTGCTCGTCCTCACCCAGAGTACACTAGCAGTGCTATATGTGCTCCGGTCCCTTCTTCGGGATGTCTGGGTATTCCCTTTCAGAGTATGGTCGGTATCCACTTTCTAGACGATTTGCTCACGCCATCGCAGCGATCCAGCACAGAGCACTCTCTCGGCATCGTAATCGCTCCTCTGGTGCTTTCTTTTGCCGCATTGCCATTAGCTTTGGTCGTTCTGTTTGTTCTGATACCCATCCTTCGCTATCTTCCTCTCGGTGTGCCTATTTATGCAACCCTTCGGGATTACTTTCTTATCCGTTTAGTGTCTTTGCCTTTGCGTCTTGTGAGGCACCCCCATGCGAGCATTCTTCGATACACGGGGCGTGCGTGGTTTCTGGGCATCCAGACTGCAGCGCTCTGGGAAGGCACAATTGCCATCTGGGGTTGGGTTATTCGTGAAGTAAGTCATTTACGAACCTTAATCGATTCCCATCGACCCATCACGAGCAGCCGATACGAACGACGTCAGATATTCGAGCATTAGTGTCTGGCCTCTCCATCGCATCTTCCTCCGCACCGTCTCTTTCTTCAGCGACGTCGTCTGCGTTCTCCACCGCTGCGCGCCTGTCGGCATTCGCCTCATCCCCCGTGCCAACGTCTTCCGGTCCACCACTATTCCCGAGAGAGTCGACAATATACACCCATCTTGCGTATTCGGAACTATTAGCACTGTCCTCGCCGGATCAAGACGATGGGAAGAAAGCTCGAGCGGATATATTCGATGTGGATGGAATGATGTGGTCACGCCTGGTCCGGGAGGCCCTGCTCTGTGTAGGACGCGAGTATCGCGTGCTAGTTGACAGAGGTACCACTCCGGCTGTCCCATCGTCACCCAATCCGTCGGTTGCCGCACCTCCCCCAAAAGCCATCACTCCAGGTGCTCCAAACTTCGAATCGCCCGTCAAAACCATGCCCTTGCTCAAGCAGAACATATTTGCCAAGAACGCGCCGACATCACCAGGTGCGCGACTCGGTGATGCACTTGCAAGTGAGGCTGTGATCGAGGGCTTGGTTGCACCAGTTGTCGATATCTTGCCCGTGCCAGATATCAGGCTACCTGAGTGGGGTCAGTACACTGCTGTCCCAGCGTGGGCACAAAGCGGCGTTGACACCGTGCGAAGAATTACGGGGAATGGATTCGTGGGTGCGCTGCCCGACGCATGGAAAGTGTCCCGAAAAGGCAAGGAAGTGCGGGGATGGGTCCCTCGCTCGGAAGTTGTTGCAGAGGCAATCATATGTTGGTCGACCAAGTTTGCGCCTACCGGAATAAGCTGACCATTCTTTCAGTACTCACAGACCTAACTTGCGCGTCTCTCACTGAAGATCGATTTGGAACTGTCCAGCGGGACATTCCGAAGATTTTGGAAGCCTTCGTTCTTTTCCTGGGGGAAATTGACGCAGTGAAGGCTGCTATGCGAGCACACCAAGAGATGGCAGATCCGGCAGATTTGGAAGAGGCAGCAGCCGCTTTCGGAGATCTCGACGACGGTGAGCAAGGCCATTGGCAATCAGAGTTTCCCAGCGCTCATTCAAAACAGCTTTGAGGGAAGGTCTTGCACGCATCGTCCGAACATTCGGCACCAACCGTTTACGCGCTTTTCGATTTGCACCTCGTGTGGCAACAAAGGTGCAAGAGTTTGCGGACTTCAGTACATAGTATGGCTGTATTGGAATCTCGATGTTCGTTCAGCAGTCTGGCTTGTTGGAGAAACGAAGCACCATAAATCTTGATACAACCGCTGCAGTCTGGATACTGATAGCCTACTTTCTCTTCCCTTTCGTGCGCTTCTTCGGAGCTGTAATGCTCTCTGGAAGCCACTCATTAGCGGAGTCTGTTTCTGAGTCTTTGGCAATGGCAGCCGTAGAAGACTTGGTTTTCGAGGGACGGCTCGTTTCAGATTTAGCGGGTAACGGAGCAACTGTCTCTCCACGCTCCTCAGCGTCCATTCGAGCTGATGCTGCAGCAATCTCTTCTGGACTAACATCCTCTCCTCGCTGTATGCGCGCCATGATTTCGGGTGTGACGCGTACTCGACGAACGTTAGTTTGGAAGCCAGGCGCTGGAGCTTCGGTGTCAGCTTCCCGCACGCACGCGCGAGATTACATGCGCACCCCCTTTCCCGATGCCGTGTACCCTCAGACGACGTTGTAGATACCATTTCCTAGCCAAAAATCCCGATAGCAGAAGCACTGAGGGAATCCTGCCGAGGAGGTTGGGTAAACGTAGAGGGACTTGTGGCGATGAAATTACGCTATCCAAAGTAGAGAGGGATATTCCTCTGTTGTCGCATTGACCCCCATGGTGGTGAAATCGAACTCGTCAGAGGCCGAGACTCGGAGTGATGCACTTGGTACGGTGGTCGCTGGCGGTCGTCCCGTGTCATTCGTCACATGTCACATGTGACTATTCGCGTCTCGGACGTCATCCTGAACTGCCTGGCTTCAGTGAGTAACAACAGCAGTACCGGCACATATGAATGCGCGCACTATACTCTCGCGATCTCCGACGCGTCTACTGGACGCAATCACACGCCTGTCCTCACGCTACCGCGAGCATGTGCTCCTTTTTACATTGTCCCCCAATCTTCCTCCCTCAGATCTCCAAACATTGGTTCAAAGATTGACCACCACGACCACGCAGTCGGTCGGATGCTTGTCGGCCCCCCTGCCTGGTCAATCAGACCTGGTCGCGTGCTCTCTGGCCTTCTTCGACCGCAAAACATGTGTCCCGTTTCGTTCGGAAATACCAGGGCAGGCTCCGCCGCAGGTCGGACGCTGGCATTCATTTCGACGGCAAACGCATGATGAGGGAATTATTGGATCTATGCCTACGGGAAACTTCGACTGGCAAGATGTATGGAGCCAGAGTTTGACGAAAAATCCGTTACCCGCTGAGCTTCAAGCAGCCAGGTGAGTAAGGCTTTTTGTATGAGCTCTCTCGTTTGTGTTCAATCTCCAAGCCCAGATGAATTTGGAACAATACTTTATCTCACTGACAATGCACCTGAAGGGCTAACGAATGCCCTATCGCATTTCTCTGGCTCTTCTAAGGTTAGTATCGCATATCCACAGAGAACGCTCGATTCACCGTCCGTAGCTAGGTCTCTTTGCACTGTCCACACCTTTTATCACAGGTCGGCCCGTCACTCTGTTCAGAAATGACGCTATATTCGATTCCGGCGCTGTAGGCGTCGCCCTCAAAACTGCACCGTCGACAGTCCGAACCCGTTTTCCTGGAATGTCCCCTCTCCACACGCCAATGGTAGTGACCCAGTAAGTGTGCTCGTTCCTATGTGCCTCCTCTCAATCGGATTCAAGGGTGGAAGGCAATCTGGTCGTGACTCTCGATGGCGGGAATCCCACTCAAATATTACTGTCCGCCATAAAAAGTGCTGGAATTGACCTGGGTCCTGTAGACTCATTGAATCTCAAAGCCGAGGAGGAGTTTGCGATTTCTGTCCTCCGTGACGGTGAAGTGAGAATATCTTCTTCGGCCCCAAGAACGCTCTGAGAAAGGATAGATTTATCAGATGTACTCCATCGAATCTGGAGATCCAAAACGAGGCACAATCTCTCTCAAGAGTCCAGTTGCGCCACCGTTGGGATCGATAGTCCAGGTCAGTCCAAACATGCTTTCTTATTCTTATTCTCAAACATGTTGATAGTTCTTCCATCGACGGAGGACACATACCGCACCGACCCTTATTTCGTCAAATGAGCCAGCAGCCGTCAGTTTCTTTGCCTCTCCAGAGCAATCTGGCTCTGGTTCTGGCGAAGAAAGAACGTACACGGACCGTTTCCTAGCCGCTAGTGACAACGCGTTCGCTGTGAGCCGTGGTGTGGAAGACTCGTGGCGTAGTTCGATCGCCGATGGGGTGGTGGAACTTACTTGGTAGTCTCTGGTAGTACCTTCTGGATGTAGCGCATTGACGCTTTATCGACAAATGCCGAGACTTGTCCGATCCGCCCTACGTGATGTCATGTCTACTTTGATGAGTAAGCACTTTTGGCAGCTTCACGTTCTCTCTCGACTCCAACAGTTATTCTGTGCAACACTCTACCCATTCTTGATGCTCCCTGCTACCTCTGTGCCTGGTTTAAAGCAAAGAAGGCTCGGACGCAGCTGTGATGTCTGCAGAACCAGAAAGAGTTAGAGGCGCAGCCACGATCCTCGATTGCTTCAGCCTCAAGCTGATACTTACTAGTCCGCTGTTCGTCAAGATTATACTCGCAGAACAAGTTCTCCTCTGAGCATCTTTTCTAAGGCGATGGCTCCCAAGCATCAGATGGGAAATGCTCCCATTGTATAACGTTCGGTTTCGATTGCACGTACCTGCAACCTTCCATGAAGAGAGGTCCCAAGGACAAGTGCGTGCATATACTGCGGCCGATCGAATTTGAATCCATTGTTCTATGTTGCGCAGGCTAGTGGAAGAACTCAGAAAAGAGGTTGCGTCCCTCGAAGCCCGCTTGCGCTCTCTTTCGATCTGCTCGCTCTGTTCTCGAGCCTTGGGCAGTATCCACACTCCGGAATCATTAGCTTCTCCGATAAGTTATACACTACATCAAGTCGATTCCGATTCGGATTCCAGCAAAGAGCCACATGTCGAAAAAGACTTCACGGGAGCAGAACTGGTGGAACGCATGTCTCAGTTCTCCATCTCGGCAGCCTTGAAGAACAAATTCTATGGCTCTGCCTCCACATTTGGTGCGAATGATGACGAGAGAATTCTGCCGTGAATCTGAGTCGTCCTCTAGCTCTCGCCAACTCAGCGATGGCGGTCAGAACTTCTCCTATACAGTCATTCATTTCTCCGATATCATAAGCAGGCCAAAGAGAAAATTACGGGGCAGCCGATACAACAAAAGATGCGCCGGTCCGAATTCTGGGAACCTTATCCGGTATGATGCTGATCACTGACCCGCGCTTGCTTATATACCTTGTAGTGGGAACAAATTCTCTACTCCGAAAAACCACAGTACATTTTCCCCGAGAAAGATCTTTTGTATTCTCTTATTCAGCGATACTTTGAAGTAGGTGTCTTCGCCATCTGGACGGACAAGCGCCTCATCCATCCGCAAGGCTGTCCATCCAACCTTCCCGCTGATACATCGCCCATCCTTCGAGCTTTGCGTTGCTGAAGGAATGCATTTCGCGAATCCACAATTTGGGAGTCTTCTATTGGCGCTTCTGGGTGTTGCATCGCGGGTAACGAATCGTGTCAATCATCTTTCGGACCTTGCTGATGTTCACAGCATTTGGACGACCCCCGCGTTCTACTGCCCGAAGGATCCGGACATTCTGCTGGTTGGAAATTCGTTTCGCAGGTCAGAATTGGACAACGAATGTGGGATCCGAGCATTTTCGATGCTCAGTTCTTCGCTGTAAGCGTTCTGAGGTCAATGGCCTATGCTCATGTTCACTGATGCCGACAGCTGATGTGTGTTTACGCGCTTGGAACTTCGACCCCACAGACATGTTGGCTTTATCTAGTGCGATTCTTCTCAACCTTGCAGTGATGGGCTGATATCTGCAGGGCATGTCCATACGATACCTACAACATCTTGGAGAACACCGGCGTAAACGTTCCGAGAAGCCGACCGAGGAAACTGAAATCTGCAACCGAACGTTCTGGTGTGTCACTCTATTTGATGGATGCCTTCGCGCTGAGCATGGTTTTCGAGGGCGGTGCTGTGCCTTGACCGAACGATTGGTGCTTTCATCGGCAGGCCTCTGGGTCTCCATCCTGAAGAGTGCGCTTTCGTGACCTTGCCCAGCCACAACTGAAGCTGGAACAGATACGACGCGGATTTACCATTGGAGGTCGATGATGAATATTGGCAGCATGATTTTGCCCAGCCACCTAACGCCCCGGCTTCGATCACTTTCTTCATCCACTATATTCAGCTTTGCGAGGTGAGTCAGTCACGCTGTGAAAATGTGCTGCTGACCGACCATCTGGTCAGATTTTGGGCGATGCCTTACGGCGCTTATATGCATCTCGCAAGTGCAAGTTGATGATGGGATGGAAAAGTGCCAAATGGGATGAAGAGGTCGCTGTTTCGCTGGATTCACGAATGAATCAATGGCTTGATGGACTTCCAAGTCACCGTGAGCCATCTCGCGGTTTTTTCTTGCTTGCCTCTGAGCTCTTTTGCCAGTCCGTTGGAGAGCTGACCAATATGTTGGCGAGGCAACCGCCTTTGACCAATGCTCGGTGCTCTATACAGCGTACAACTTTGTCCAGATAATGGTCCGCGATGCATCGGCTCGAAGAATCACACTTTCTGAAACTTCATGCAGATCCATAGACCATTTATTCAAAAAGACAACTCGCTGGCAAGCCCCTCTCTGGCTATCTGTGTTGGTGCAGCTCGTTGTATCATCCAAGCGATTGCTATCTGGGTGCCACGACGTCAGCTCATATTGCCTCATCATCTCCTGGTAAGTACGGCCTTGCCGACTAGATGCCACCAAAAACCTGAACGAACAGAATCCACTGATCGTTGCGGCTTTGGTATTATGCAAGAATATATTCGGTGCCATGAAACGCTCGGGAAGTCCAATAGCCAAGGACTTCGAGCTTGTTGAGACAGCCCAGGCCATTTTGAAGTCGGCCGAAGCAAGGTGCAACACATCGTCCGTTAATTTTCGTTTTCACTGAGACACATCGCAAGATGGCAATCTGCAGGAAGATTGTGGGAAATATTGGAGACACTCAAACCAGGCAGTCGCAGATCGTCAGCAGCTGGGAATGGGGAAATCGAACCCGTTCATAGCTCTGAGACAATTCGGCGGGAATCCCACAGATCGGCACCACCTGTTGTTCCCACTCTGCAGCAACTGGAAGATGGGATCCTGATGGATGAGATTAGAATGAATGAAGCGACGTTGGACGATAATTTTATGGCTATGTGGTTGAGCGCAGACTCGATGTGTGTGCTCGGCCTTCCGTGGTTTTCACTCACAAGCTCACGCTTGCCAGGGACTTTGATCAATGGAACAGCTTTGTCGGGGACGGCCCGACTATAGGAATGTGGTGACGTTGAGATTAGATATGATTAGATATGCGGCATGTACGATAAAGAGCGGTCAATGACTCTACTCCACACATGCACATACAACGCGTCGACAACCTGCTTCCAGCGCCAACCGTAATGTACAGCGTAGCTGAGCTCAAGAAGTTGACGGTGCCTCAGTTGAAGGCTCTATGCAGGGAAAAGCATATTAACGGCTACTCAAAGCTCTCAAAAGATGCCCTGATCCAGAAACTGGCACAGAGCGACCAATCTGAAGTCGCGGCTACCCCTTCACTGTCCTCTCTTCCAGAAATCTCTCCGGCCCGAAAACAGTCTGATTCTCAATCCACTCTGCTTGCTAATTCAACGGAACTGAACGCGTTCGAATCAAATCACTCCCTTGTGCCTTTCACCCTCGTCCTTCATTCTTCCGTTCAAGACGCGGCATCGAGCCGAGAAGCCTCAAGCTGTTCACCGATCTGTGAACTCTCGGAAACGCAAAGACTGGTTCCATCCCTTGGAGTCCAGGATCCCCAGCCAGCAGGCAAGAAGAGAAAACAGCTCGTGACAGCGGAAGCATCTGACAAGAAACTCAAGACATCTTATCCCAGCCCATCAGGAAAAGAGGGAACTACAACTACCCCAGTAATATCGGAAGGGTCGAGAATTCCTAGTCATGTACCGTCCGACGCATTTCCCCCGCAACAGCCGGTGACGAGCAGTGTGCCATCGAAATCGCATAATCTCCCACCTGTTTCCATCGTCCCAGTTCAAACAACATCGTTGGCGTATGCGACAAATGCCGGTCCGTCGCTCCCGACAAAGCGATTTCTACCCCTTGTCGTGAACGTCAAGAAAACCGCAAATATTGTCCTATCGCATCTCAATATTCCCACTGCGGCTCCTGTGAAACCCGAAACGACGTTTTACTTGAATTTCCCTCTGTCTGGCACACCCCCTCAACTCGTTCCGATATCGCTACCCCCTTCTCTCTCTCAACGAAAGCGCGTTTCGCAGTATGCAATCCTACTTAGTTTCGTCCCCCGCGAAGACCTGCAGAGCTGTATCTTGGTATCTCGAATGTTTCGATATGCAGGTCAGTCATCGCCTCAGTCGCAAGGATTGCGCTTATGCTTCTGCAGTTTATCTCTCGGCCTATCATCGGTTGTGTCGAGACTTTCCCGGACAAAGACTCTCGCATGTGGTCTCGTCTTGTTCTCCGTTGATGTCAAACATGTGGCCTTATCTGAGCTACCGAGAGCAAGAAATGACAACTAGAAAGCAATATTTTCGCAACTCTTTTCTCGGTCGACTGTACATCAATGCTGTTTCCGAACATCTGTGGACGTCGCCAGATCACGAACGTCAGATCGTCGTCGCTCTCAGGTACGGGTTCCCGAAACAGGGGGCCTCGCCGTTTCTCATGAAATTACAGGTTCAGCCTGACTCGGTTGTTCTTTGATATTTCGATCGGTTGCGGAAGAGGATGGAAAGAGGGCCAGATTGTGAATGCCCAACCTGTTGTCGAAAACGAGATCTGGGCCATAACCATCCGTCATACCGATGGAGCGACCGAGTCGTTCCACGTTCTCGAAGCAACTTGCGAGCCTTTGGCGACGACGGGGATCTCCACAATCCCCGTGCGTGCAGATTGGTCAGCGTACATTTCACGTCGTGCAGTCGAGTCCGGCAGCTTACTCGACCATGTGTCATGGACTAATCACGAGGAGTACAATCTCGGTATCAGCCGGCTTTGGCTGAAGCGTGTCGAAGGAGACGGCGAAGTGGGCGCGGCCAAACGTGATATCGCAGAGCGCTACATTCTAGCATGCGTGGTAGCAAACAGGTGGCGTCTCGCTCTCTGATCGCTCTCTCAATTGACTTTTTTTTTCAGTGTGAGCGGACGCTGGATGTCGTCGATGCAGATGGCCCAAGAATCGGCTGGTTTGATTGAGACAGTGGCCTCTCGACCCCAGAGTAATCCCAAAGTCAATCTCTTCCTTCCAGTGTGAGTCTTCGCAGTGCGCTGTACCAGTGTTTTGACTGCCATAATAGACACCATCATGTTGAGAGTGTGCACTTGACTGTTGGGCGGCGCGCACTGCATCCTGCGCTGGCTGTGATACAGACACCCTCCAGAGAATATTATATTCTCCGGGACAATGGCATGCAAGTGGGCTGCGAGGAAGAGGGCGTGCCAGAGGTATGGCGGAAAGTACTCGGTTGTGATTTCAAAGGCTGTCCCGCTGAAGCACATGTGACGATTTGATCGCACAGAGGCCAAACGGCCCAACGCTCTACCAAGTACTTATCTACACTTGAATTACTACTGGCGCTCGATCTGGCTCTGCCAGAAATCCAACTCCTTCAGCCTGTACCGCGGGCACATCATATGAAACGCGAAATAGCCCTGAAGAAACTGCTCGACCTGGCTCTCCACTCCCTCGGCTACGGAAAATCCGCGAAGACGGCTCATGCAACCCAGCACCGACTTCTCATACACCTCCAGCGCACCAGACAACGAAAGCCCGTGAAGCCTCGCGTGCATATGGATGGCGTTATCGCGCTCGGTGCCAACGAGCGACTCCTTGTAGAAGGACAGGATGTCATTCGCTTCGTTCATGAAGGTGACCAAGTCGGGAATCATGGGGAGGTGCGCAACGCTGTGTGCAGTTGGACTTGCGGCACTGCGGTCGAGGGGGAAGATGAAACATGCAAATGCCTCGGCGACTCCACTCTTGAGGCGAAAGTAGGTCGTGTAACCGGGAGAATTCACTGTAGGACGCAGGTCCGCCTGCCTTTTGAACTCGATCAGGTTCGCGCTGAGGAACTCGAGTGTGACCTTCAAGATCATGTCGACATCGAACGTGCCAAAGTACGAGTCTAGCTCGCGGATGATCTCCAGAAGCGCCTGCAAGATTGGCGTATCTTGGGGCTGGCCGTTCAACAATCGCGTGCGGTAGTTTGCTAGGGCATCGGGGAACAATATTCCTAAATCATCGATCATGGTGGTCATTCCCGTAAATTTGGCGATCAGGAGCTGAAGCTTCCTGCTGTGGTCCGGGTAGAACCATTTTGCAGCGTCGATCCCGACTCCAGCGAGTGCTTTTGTTCTCTCCGGCGGCAATCCGAGCGCGAGGCAACTTGAGATCACTTCCCTATTGAATTCGGGATCGTCCTGGTTGTCGGGAAGCCTGAAGCCTGCCTTGGCGAGAAAGTTCTGAACGAACGACGTGTAAGCGGAGACGGATACAGACCCGTGGTCCTCCGACTCGTCACAAGGTCCAGAGAAACCCTTCCGAATGACACTCTCTGCGATGGACTCTTTGTGCGTGTTAGCAATCTGGTAGGCATGTGGCACTTTTATTGGCTTACCTGGTCCAATTTTCCAAACACCGGTCAGGATGAAGCTGTGGAGCGCACTCCAGACATATTTCGGCGTCATGTTATCTGACTGTGATCATTAATCGTGCGGACATCTGCGCTTTTATATCTTCAGAGAAGCGGCTCCCCCCGGCCACACGATAAGAAAGGGTTCTCCGACAGGATGCTGGCACATTACACGATATATGGAAAAATCACTGTTGCAGATGCAATGAGGCAAGCCGGGAGAAGATTGTCCTGAGCAAGGTCATGTGGCTAGTTGTTGCCAAAGCTTACTGAGGCCGCTTGAGCACAGGGTTGATCAGCAGCCGAAAGATACAAAGTGTCGTCTGAGGCAAGGTAGCCATCGTTTGGATCAGGCCTTCACGAGGCATATAAGATCGTAGAAAATGCACGCCCTAGACGGCTTCTTCTTGAGTACCAATGTGAAATCATGCATGACCTCATCACCTATGAGGCACAAATCTCATGCCTAATCTCGCTACCTACCCACTATGGATCATAGTACTCTCAGATATACCAATACTGAGTGTCTTCAGCGAGTGACGCGTCAGACCGAGACCTGAGCCGCAGTTGTGAATTGATTCAATGAGTCACGTGACCGCGATGGGCCTCACGTGCTCCTTGTAACATTGAACGCTGTTTCTCAGTTGGTCTGGACTGTGATTCTGCATCAGAGTTCGTATGTAAACATGTGAAGATCCGAGACCAAAGGCAGCGATACCGCCTGTGTAGTTAGTTTCGGTCTAGAGAGCCTGTAGCGACGGAAGCCGCTAAGCAGTAGCGTGGTCAGCCACCCGGCTAACACTATGAGCTGGAATGCATCTAAATCCCTACTGGTGAGTAAAAAGCAGTTTCTTTGGCCGTGTACATTGGATTGCATGCAATCTTTGTCTCAAGCTCTAAGGTTGCGAGGGAGAGCTGACTCGATCAGATGACATGTCTTGAGAGACTGTCAAACCCCATCAACAATACCTGAAATGATATAGCTTCGAGTAAATTAACCGGCGTTTGTATCTATCCTTCCTCAGCATGCTACGATGGTCTTCTTCTTTTCGAAAAAACACCCCGACGAGCATGTATCCTTCAAGCCTTCGCCAACCCAGGAGGATAGCCCTCCGATTCCTGGCCCAAGCAACGAATCCGGCTTCAAGTCGTTTCGTTCCAGACTTCAGGGTGTACGTGATTGATTTTCACGCTACACAAGCTGAACGGACATTTAGTACGCAAAGAAACTGGACACCAAGGACCACGATGCCGGGCCGACACCTACGTTTTCCCAGTCCGGCTCTGTCGCTCAAACACTCTCTCCGCCCGTTGCGACGCCCATCGCCAACCGTCATCTACAACTCAAGCTTTCCTCGAGTTCACCGGCTCTCAATACTGTCCGGGATACCACGCGACCTTCCAAGTCAGCGGACTCCTCTCCGGCACCAACGAGTAAAAGAAGCACAATGTTTGTTGCCCCCGAACCCGACCCACGCCCCTCCTCCTCGCGCTCAAGGGCCTTGGGCACCAAATCTTCCTCCTCGTCCCTAGCTCCCTCGCGCCAACCGACGGACGCAGTCACGTATGTGCTCCCTCTGGTTGCTCTAATCGGTCCTTACCGTCGTTGTGTTCAGCACCACCCTTGCCCAACGTCTCAACGAACTCGCTGTAGCAAATTCAGAGGGCTTGCTCAAGTGCGTCTTAAGGCTTTCATTAC